TAAACAAGCAAAAGCTTGCAGGTTACTCAAGCCATGTCCCAGAAGGAACTCATGTTCCCTACTATCTTCACCACTTCAGTGTGAATTTCATTCATTCAGTGTTTTAATTGTCTGTGCCCTTGTTTTTGTGGGAGGAAGGTGGAGTTGAGAAGAGAAGGAAAAAAATTGTTGGTAAATACCATATTCTTAAAAATTAGGATCTACTGAGAATTCCTTGCCTCTAAATTGGGTTCAAGCTACCTCAAGTTCCTGTTGACACTGGCTGTTGTAGCACTCACCGTGGTAATACTGTATTAGAAATTGGTAGGTGTCTTATTTATCATGCCTGGATTTTTTTTTTCCRGATATGGAAAATGAGGGATAGTATCCATGTGGGGTGTTAGAGAAATTAGTAGGTGTCCCTTCCTAAAACTTCTACAGAAGAATAGATTTTTACGAAGAAAATACTTCAGACTTGCTAGTATTATTATAATGAAACCTTTTTTAATTCATACTTCTTGCTAACAGCTTTCACGGGGATCTATCAGGTCAAACAACCATCTGGTTCTTACATCAGAGGGTTAATAAGTGACTTTAATCTGTCATAACAATATCTGTTAATACCATCTGCAAAACCCAACTTTAAAGCTTTCTACTTAAAGATTTATAGCCTACTTTGGTTGAATGCAATTAAGAGCAGAAATTCCTGCAATGGACAAATATTTCACCTCTGATTGTTTGAGGTTGTGTTCCCCATGACTCTGTATGTGATTATTTTTTTTTCCAATAATTCTCATCATGGATCAATGTTCGTTATTGGAAATAGACTTGAGCCTTTAAAACCTCATTAGAAATGAATTTTGCCTAATGACTGTGAGTCTGAGGATATGAAGCACGTGAGTTCAAGTAAGAACTATTGCCACTCTGATAGTGTTTTATCAGAATTTAATGTTCCATGTGTACCCAGTAACAGTGTGGTTTTCAACTGAATGTAGGTACCTGTTTCAGAAACTATTGCACAAAGGACAGGGCCTAATGACTTAAAATGGAAAAAAGAGACAGTCCTTGTAACTAAGTATGAAAAGCCCTGCTCTTGTTCTTCAATAACTCTGTGCGTGTAGATGAGTGTCTGTGCTTATAAGGCGAGCCATGAGGAGCAGAGGGCCAAAACCCCTGGTTGAACGCACAGCGAGCGCCCTTGGTGCAGTTTGCTTCGCTCGCTCCCACTGCTCACCTCAGCAGTCTTCCTGCCGTAAGAGCAACCCCATTTAGAGGCAGGCCAGGCAAAACCACGTTAACTGTTTACATTTGAAATGATGCGACAACGTTTTTGTCCATCTACATCCTGACTATGCTTTCGTTCTGTGTAGACAGCCCACAGCCACGTTGTACCACACAGGCCATCTACAGCCACAGCTCAAGTATAGGCAGCCAGGGCTTTGTTCAGCCTTTCTGCTGTGAGTTATCATAGCTTGGGTTGACTTCTGTACAGTTTTGAAAAGGGGATGTTAATGTCTTCTACCTCTTGAAAGACACACTTTTAAATAAGATGCAGCTGCATTGCATTTTCAGTCCATTCCCTTGCTGCTTTATGAGAAAAGATGACTAACTCATTTATGGCAATACTGAACAGTAATAACTTTAAATTTATGGGACGCCCAGTGTCTAGATGCCTTAGGGTGCCTGACAGGCTATAACTTAATGTAGGTTTAAAAAGCAATGTGACTTAACACAATAGGACTGATGGATAAACAGAAACCCCATTGTGTGATAAACAGGACAAGGTCTCACCAACTGTATCAAACCCAAACTCTGCAGCCTGACCCAGAGGGGGGCCATTGTCTTCCCTGAAATGTCAGCCAGGAGAATGTGCTGGAGCTAATAGAAAGCACTTACAAAGGCAGACTTCACATGTGGTAGAACCAGCGAGAGCTGTAGACTGAACTGTAGGATTTGTTTATCTTGTTAACCAAGGATTAACAGTTCAAAAAGGAAACCATATATAGTGGCAACTGTTTAGCTTCTATAGCTATTTCTTTTCTGCACTTATTCAAAGAGTATGTTTTAACAAATTAACTTGTGTACGCAAATGCATGTTCACACACATGCCCACTCACTCCCTTTTCTCCTTGGTCCCGCTTCTCTATCCAATTTGGATAGTTATGGAACTATTTATACTAGCAGGGAGTTTTTCTTCTGCTCTTAGAATCAACTTTTGTCCCAAAGTGTGAGTTTACAGGGGTCTATTGGTCTTTTGTTAGTGTCTTTGAACAGAGAAAGCAGTTCCTGAAAGGGTACAACATAAGATCCTTCTCCCTCAAGTACTGCATTGTCTTTAGACCTTTYTTCTGCTTTATAAAGTCAAGGAGATCTGTAAAGTTCAGTTAGAAGACTGTAGATGAGTTTTGAATCATTCTTTCACTGCTCATAAGGAAGACAGCCATATTTTTTATTTCCTCCTCAGTCTAGCAAATATAAAAAAGAGGGGAGTCAAAAGAAAATATGACTTGCTRATCTTTCTAGTACTGTAGGCACTGAGCAACTTTGCTAAGCAATGTTAAATCACATAAATTGTATAATTACAATTATTTTATAATCTTTTAAAAATAAGGCAAAGTTAGAAGAAATATTTTTCTAATGTACGCTATACATCTTGGCAATGATATTGGAAAGTCATTGGAGCCAGAGTTGTATACTTGATAATTACTGTTTGTTTTGTGTTTTTGAGCCAGAAAAGGATTTTACTGAAGGTTTGAAATCKTGTATAAGAGATTTGGAAATGAGACTCAGTAATTCCTATCGTGAAGAAAATTATCCTACCAAGTATTATGAAAGATTATCTTGTGCAACTTTTATTTTTAATAAGAATCCAATGTCTACTTTTTTTAGTTTATACTGTGACTGTGTCCAAAGGAATAAAAATTAGGCAGTTGCTTGAGTCTTGCGTGGGAATAACTTCCGAAACAGTGCCTTTCACAATTCTCTATCTGCATCATGGTATCCCAAATAATGCTACCAAGAATACAGTGTCCAAAAAATGCCACAGCCAGAAATTTGCATCCTATAGTGAAATTCAGTTTAGATAGCTGCAACGTAAAGTAAGCCTCCTCTTCCCCCCGTTTTTAAACACAGATAAATAGAACATCTGAGAGAGACATAACTTAATTTTCCAGAAATTCATGCTATTCTGTGAATGGCCATAAATCAGATTTATTGTTAGTGAAGTAAGCTCCACAGAATGTTACAAAACATGTTTTTTAAAAATTGCTAAGACAAAGTCTAGCTTTTCATATAATTTTTCTACTCAATTTGGTGCAGCCATGTGGCTGGATGTATAGAAGAACACACACACACACACACACACACACACAAAAATAGAAAAACCTAGAATGATACAATTACCAAACATAGGATAGAGGGCATGTACCTAAGTGTGGTATACATGTAAAGAAATGAAATACTGTTAGCTGTAGTGAGCTAGGGTTCTTGAATTCTATATTCTATATTTCCACTATATGGATGGCAKAGAATTAATTCAAGTCCAGTATGACTTTAAATGAGGCTTACAGAAAAAYAAGGGAATACTACAGGGATGTTTTCAGTGTAAGCTGTCATTATAAGCAGAGCTCAATATAGAAATAGCAATAGGACATAGTCCTGTATTGTGCATGGAATTCAAAAAGAGCAACACTTCATTTATGGGGCTGATTATTCTGTATCACTGAGTCTTGATTTTGGCTGTTCTAAACAACCAAACAAACCAACAACATCCTCGAGGGTCCAGTATCTTAGAGTGTGATTGAAGTCTATGAGAATTCACCTTGCACTTCATATCTATTACTCCCCACTCCTAATACTTTGGCCACCTGGGCTTTTGTTTAGCACCTCAGGTTACATACCATTGATAGCTGTGAATTCAGCACTTCATAAAAGGAGAAAAAGAAATAGGGGTCTGGAAGCACTGGAGCTGTGTGCCTGTTGTTGCAACTTGTGATCTCTTTGAATTTTAAGTTCACCAGACAGACTGAGGTGATGGTGAGACCTGTAGTGCAGTTAGGAAGATTTATGAATAAATGGATTTTAAATCTGTTGGAAGAAGAAAAATAAGCATTTGGTTGGTAGAACTGAGTATGTAGTTTTTTTTTTCTTTCTTTGTTTCCCTCTAGCAGAAAGGAGTACTAGAAAAATGAGGCAGGAATGAAAACAAGTTGTGGGTGCACCCCCCATGAAAAGGGGTCCATCCCTTTCAGACATGACAGTAGTGGGTATGCGCTGCAGTGCAATAAGGCAATACTTTAACATAGGATCTAAGACGATTAAGGCTATCTAAGTGTCTCAAGTGGACTATGGAGGTTAGCCTTAGTTCCCTCAGTAAGTAATGCAGGCCTATGTGTTTACTATAGGCCTTGGAACAAAATGTTCCTTGTTTCTGTTGTGTACAAGGTCTGCCTGACAAACGGGATTGTTTCACCTCAAAGGCTAGGAATAAACTAACTTKTATGTAATGTAGATAATTAGAGAATTTAAACCTGGATTGGTGCTTATGGACACAACTAAACATAGCACTGATAGGCAGAAGGTAGTGCATGTTTATGCTGTTGAAAAGGAAGTAATGCTGGTTCTGTTTCTCTAAAGATAAGAGGAAGACAATGAGGCCAAAGAACACAGTAACTAAGCAAAAGGTGTCCTGAGACTATATCTGATCAGCAAGCAGGACAGATTTTGACAATGTGGTTACTATGCCAAAATGAACTTTTCATATCTGAAAAGTTTTCTGTACATATAGCCATTCTCCAAGGAGTTAAAAATGCATGAAGCTTCTGCATGGAAGTTTTATGATATCTTACAAGCTTCATGGAGAAGTGAAAGGGATTGAAAGTCTGCATATCCAATACCACATAGCCGGTGAAAGGTAAAAGTCAATAATGAAAGTCATCATCCATCTGCTGCAATAATATTAACAAAACCACTATAAGTTCATAGTACAGTATATTCAGCTGTCTTTCTGTTACAGGAAAGCTCAACACACCGATCCGGCTTCTCTGTTCTGTTCAGAAACATTGGAAGAATACTTGACAGCCTTCAAGTTCTTTCAAGGATCTATAAAGAATTTATGGTGTGGTTACATTAGCAAATGTGGTGAGTTAAATCATAGRCATACAGCAACTACTGAAAGGCAGTTTAATTTCTATGTGTCTTCTCAACAAATATCAATAGTTGTTCAGACTAGCAATCAGCTTAGTGACAAAGCTCATGTTATGTGAAGATCCCTCTCAAGATTATGTGGCAAGTAGGAGAGGAAGGAGGTAAGTTTGAGACTTATTGTTCCCAGAAGCAGCATATGATCAACTCAGAGCAAGGCCTACGGGAAATGGGGTCTGGGAAGGTATGACCTTTATGTGATGGGGCATGTATGTAAATGGTTAGGATTGTAGGAAGTAGCTCTCCAGGGAGAAGATGGATCTGGAAAGTCACTTTCCATTAATGAAGGAAAAAAATTGAGGGTTGATCCTGAATGGGCTGACAAAAAAAAAAACGGGGTGGGTAAGATCAGTATAGAATATGGCTCTCAGGCTGAAATAGGATATCACTGAGTGGCAGAAGATCCTGTTAGGGCTCTTAAGGATAGGACCACAACTTCTTTTGCTACAGTATAAAATGATTACGCCAATTCCTGCCACTGAAGAAAATAATGGGAGATGGCTTATACAGTATATTTAAAATATATAAATATAGTGCTCTAATTTCTGAGTTTCTAAGAACTTTCATGTTCATTCCATGAATGTAGTAACCTTCAACAGATTCTTCTTAAACCGTGAGCAGAGTAATCATGTGAACCTGTGCACATTGTTAGAGCTATGAGGGCTAAATTTTATTTTCTTTCCACTTAAAGCTATCAACTGCCACCAASAGCATGGGCTTAGAAAAAGAATTAAAGTCAAATCAGAGAAGATGGACAGCTAGCATCCAAGGTCGCTGTCTAATGTCCCTGTTGGGTGGCATGGACACTGGTGTCCGAGACTCCCAGGCCCAGCACGTAGGCCTGTGAAWGGCCTTTGAAGCTAAGGATGGAACGAGAAAATATTTGTTCCCTATTATACAACAGGGAATTTAGGCACAGATGTGCTCCATAGATGAATGTAAGAAGTAAGTACAAAGTAAAGTTTACGTACCCAGGAAAATTACTCTTTTCTGCCTGACTTAAAGTTGTGCATATGACAGCACTGAGTTAATGAGGTGAAACTGTTCCCCAGACTCTGAAATACCACAGGCTCAGTCAATAAAAGGCTCTAATCACAGCCTGTGGTTTTGCATAAACTATGTAATTTACTTGATCTCAATACTTCAACATTATAAAGTTGAACTTGTTACCTCTGTTCCAGTACTTCATATATAAGCCCACCATCACTCTTCGTGCATCTCTCTAAATATATGGAATCATAGGAAACAGCTGCAAAAGACCTCAGGAAATCAGCTGGTATAGGATTCTGTCTAATATGAACTATGCTTGTGTCAATACTCCTCGTCAGTCTTTTCTTAAAGACCTCTATTGATGACAGCTCTGGCCTCCCTAGGCACTAGGTCTGTGTGAGTCAGAAAGTATTTGCAGTGCCTGAAGTCTGACTTGATTCAGTTTGTTTTCAGTCTTGTTATATCCATAGTGGACATTTAAAGTTTTTAATGGTTTTATTAAAAATGTGTATTAAATATAAATATGTATTTGAAGTCATCCTTTCTCTGGACTAAAACACTCAGATGTCTTTGATCTTTCAGCCCATGTTTATTAGATTTATGATCAATATGCAACTGCTGTTATTCAGGCTTTGCATCTACTTTGTTCATAAACCCTGTAGCTGCCATAAAAGAAATTAAATATACTTGATGTGACTTGCTCTTGACAAAGACATGCTGGCAATTATTTGTCAGTTGTCCCACTTCCTTCTAAACACATGATGCCTCAAAATTGTTCTAGTTCTTCAGCTGAGGCTTAGCTAATGCTGACGATTTTATCTTGCAGTGTCTTGGGCTAGAGTTTATAAACAAGAGCATATTTGACATTTTCACAACAGCAAAATAACTTTGACTCTAGTTTGACCTGCTATAGCTTCCAAATCTCTTTTTAAAGATTAAAAAGATTAAAAAATATGAAACCAGAGTAACTCACTAATTCTAATGCTAATGTAGTTAAATTCTGTATTTCTTCAATTTTTTTTCAAACCCTAGCTTAACCAGTGAAATGATAGGACTTAAAAAAAAAAAAAAAAAAGTAATATGCAATCAGCTTAAGAATAGAAAGGCAAGCACATATATGCATTCCTATATATATATAAAATATATATATTTAAAGAGAAGTGGACTTGTCTTGATTGGGGGCTCCTAAAGACTAACTTCTAAGACTTCAAATATCTGAAAAAAAAAGTGACAATAACCACTCCTTGTGAGTAAGCAGAAATGTAAGTCAAAAGCTAATCCTACCGTATACTGCTTTATATGACCTCAAGTATCACAATACAAGAAATCTGTATTGGTTTACAGAAAAGCCAAAAAAAGACAACTGTACATTGACTGGAAGAAAACTTTGGTGAAAAAATAACTTTTAGTCTGAATTCAGACAGCTTTGAAATAATTGATTTAAAAAAAACAGGCCACAAAAAAAAAAAAAGTCCTTAAAAATAGCTTTGTAAGGAATTTTCTGTACCAAATCAAAGTATGTTAAGGAAAGAATAACTTTAAGGTTTTCAAATTACCAAAAAAAAAAAAGCCAGACAAAACAAACACTGTTAAAATGGGAGGAAAAAGGGGAGGGGAAAAAAAAAAAAAWKTGGAATGGGCTTGTAGTCATATTTACAAAGGCTTGTTTAAGTCTTTAAGAAAGTAGACTATCCTCAATCTGAGACTGAGCTTTCTAATCAGTAGTGTAATATATTAGGTTGACTCCATTGCAATACTATCAGACCAGGGTCTTTGTGTCTTAATTGTCCTTTCTGTTACCAGACAGAAAAGTAATAAAGTCTTCTTGAGACAAAATGTTTCATAAAGATATGTGGGAGATGCAAAAGGCCTTTGTGYGACCTTTTCTGCTTGTGGCCTGAAATGACCACATTTTCTTTTAAATACTTGCTCATTTTGTAAAGATAGAGGAAATTTACTCACAGGGGAGTAACAGGAGACAGAGCAACTGAGTAACTGCTAGGCTTAGAACTTGGGAGATGCCTGTGGGATGCGAGCCTGTTGAGCATGCTATTCTGTTTGACCTAAATATCTTTGAGAGATAACGGGAGGGCAGAACCCTCAAGTTCTACTTTTTTTTTTCCCTTGCAAATGCAGTTACTTTAATAGCTGATTCCATGCTTATCGCTTAAGTGCGCTTATAAATTCAAAGTTCTTTAAAGCCACTTAAAGCAAAAATTCAATTTGCTTGGCAAAGACTACCTAGTTGGCATAGCTGGGGAAATAACAGCCACAGTAATTAAGTTGCTGGAAGTGATAGCAACTGCAATAGTAGATAGAGCAAGTTGTGGTATACCAGCTGGAAAAACACATTCATGAGTGCTTTTCTGGGGGCCTGAACTATGTAATTTCTCTCTAACAATGCTGGAGCTGTGTTAACAGTGCCCACTCTATAGTACATGCTGCCACAGGAAATTAGGTTTCACTGACAGAATCAGTGAAAGGCTTTACCCAGAAGAAGCAGATGAAGAAACAGTCTCAGCAGAGACATAGGAAAGTTAGACTTGAAAATGCTGTAACTGAACTTCTGGGAACAAAGCTAGTGAATTCATTGCAGCAAGGCTTTCCCTTCCTTGTTCCTTTCCCTAAGGGTTAATCTAGATCTGCTTCCCTCATCTACTTTTTTGACATATCTGCCCAGTCTTGCTTCATATTGTTCTCTGAATGAGTCCTTCAAACCCACTGAATTTACCCCTCTGTGAATAACTTTCCTTTCTCTTCTCAAAGCCCTGAGCTAGTGTGAATTTTACTACTCTAGCACTGGTAACTCTATTCCCTCCTTTGACACCTAGAAAAATCATTAGTTCTTAGACAAAAAGGCAACAGCCATGATAAGGGAAAAAGTCTTTCTCATATCACTAGTTTACAGGATTTTCTTGAACACAGCTCTTTGATTCATAKTGGGTCAGTTTTCAGAAGGTGCCTGTTTTGTATATTGCTAGGGGAGGATAGGTAGCTGAATTAGTGTGTTCAATAGAGAGCAAGATTGCTTCTTTACAAAGTCCAAGTTGTGTCCAAGTTGGCTTAAGGTGGTTCAGCTGCCAATAGACACAGTTACTATGCTGATTCATGTTAACTGAAGAAACTTTTCACTGTATTAATGGAAAATGATACTAAGAATGTGAAGGCATTTGTAGTATTTCTCAGCAGCTGCCTTTCTTGTGACAGCTCTGCTACAAATGGCAGCTCAGTTGACTGGAGGCCACTTCACATGAACCATTCATGTGGTCAGTTCAGTCTAGTGGACCTTGATCAAAGACATGTACTAGGAGATAAGCTGAATTTTTGTCAGGACTACTGCTTTGCTGGGACCCCTTATTACATTTTGGTGGGTCCCTCTAGCACCTTAGTATCAGCCTGTTTTCAGAAGTTTATCAAACCATAATGCAGCCACTGTGTCTGGTGATTACTAACAGCAAGGCTGCCACTGTTTTCAAAGCAGGGCAGACTCTAAAGGATATATTTCTTAAAAATATATATTTCTTAAAAAGCTCTGCCAAATAATTTGTTGATTCTGTTTCTAAATATTTTATTAGAGGATTTTATGCTTTTTCAGTAACTTTATATTTTTATTTATTTTTATTTTTATATTTATATTTTTATTTAATATTTTAATATTTTTATGTTATAGTGTTGTCTATCAAATTACTGCTATTGTCATTAAAGGGATCGTTGCCATATGCCAACGAAAGAGCTTGCCTCTTTCTTTAAGAAAGGTAGTCAAGAAAAACTCAAATATTTTTAGGATGAACTGTATTTAGGAAGTAACTGTGAAAAGAACAAACCCAAGAATCCTGTATTCTTCCCAYCTTCCCCTATAGTTCTATCATTACAAAAGCTAAAATGCCTGCTTCCTGAAAACTCAAATGCGAAGTAGGAAAGTGCAAAGCCTTTTTTTCCATCTTGCTCTAGGTATGCTGGTGTACATCAGGTTTAGAAAAGCAACAATGATAGTGTGTGAAGTTAATGACCTTGTACCTGGTCAGAGAACCTTGCTTGTCAAATTCCGGGGAGTTCTCACTGAAACCCTGAATACCTGCCGAAAGCGAAACATTTTCACAGTGGAAAAGTGCAGATACACATGTATAAGGAGGCTGGCTGACAATATGGTAAGTGTCTTGTAAATGAGGTATTTACCAGATTAGTCAGGATTGTATTTGAAGTGTGTCTGTATTTAAAGTCCTGTTTTTACCAGGTTAGAAGGAAGTAAATGAGATTGTAAAGGAGGTACACAATCCAGGACAGAAGTTTTCAAAACATATATGCTAACTTCATTAATCTTACAAATGTAGCCTTGAGGGTGGGAAGAGACCATTATCATGAACAACATCCCTTCTGGGACTTCAACTGAATGCCCGAAACAAATTTTGGGATCACTATAATTGCAGCAACAGCTGATACTTTAGTATTGAAGGCTGCAAGGAACAATTAAAAGGATAAAAGAGCATTTGCCTCTGATTTAATTCCAGCTGCTTGAGGGAGAGGAGGAGGGAAGGAAATAAATGTGAAGTCCCTGAAAACATTTAAGAATGATACTATACCATCTAAACAATGGATTAGCTATGAAAAGCTATCCTTTCTTCTGGAGAACAGATTTTATTTCTAAGCTGTGGGATACTTCAGTTGCTGGCCTGTTACTGCTCGAATCTTGAAGATGATTCTGCCTTAAATCTTTCTGTTTCTAGTTATATTTTGACATGCTAGCTTATTAAGTATGACCCTTAATTAAATGTTCCTGGGGTGGAGGGAGAATCATACCGTGGTTCTGGTATGATGTTGCAACAAGCATTATAATCCAGACAAATAACTCTTGTAATTATTTTGTTTGTCACCACACATGGATTTGTTCCATGGCATTTCATTTGGGATGCAGCAGCTTCCATGTCTGCATGAGAGCTTTCTCCTGAAAATACCTCCTAAGTGACTTTTCTCTTTCCAAGGATGTTTTGTAAGTGGTTTCTGACACTGTCTATTAGACTTCAAATTTGAAGGTTGCTTGATGCCCTTGTGTTTTTCCTTAGTGTTACATGTAGCTAAAAACAATTAGCTACAGAGCAACATAAAACCAGTGGCCTTACATGTCCATTTTCTCTCTGTGCTAATGATAAATGAGTTATACCTCGATACCTGTTTTTTCAGGGATGTGAGCTTTTCCAGCTACTTGGCATTGTACAGACTGATGTGTTCCAGGATAAGTCACAGAAAGCTTTATGACGCCACAGGAACCAAGGCAAAATCAACTTGTCTTATTATCAAACAATTTAGGAAGAAGAAAACAGAATAACAGGAAAGCAAGTTATGAAAGTGTCATCTGCAAAATAAGATGTATATGCATCTACCAGAGAAATATAAATGTATCTTTATTTTAGAGGTAAGAAAATAGAAGTCATTTCCAAAGACTCTGTTAATAATCTTAGGAATTACAAGTACCAAGCTTGCAAGGACTAGCATTTGTGTTGAGTTATAAAGCTCAAATTTTCTATGTTATATCTGCCTTTATTACTTGTGTTGCATTATTCTTTCTTTACATACTGACTATCTGGTTAAAGTTACTACAAAAATGCCATTTTTTTGTTGTTTTTCTCTGTAATGTATTAATTCTGAATGCCTTGTTCTACTGAGGCAGGCTTCCCAACTTTTTGTTTGGTTCCTAACGATTCATCTGATTCAGTTGGAACCAGCACTAAAACTATCAAAGCATTTTTATTTAAGGAATTTGCTAATGAAAACTGAACCCAGCTGTCCCCATGATGCTTGTATTTCTTTCCATATTTTTTCCAATTATATTTTGTAAATAGCAAAAGTATGCACAGCTAGTTAAATACAAAACTGAAGTTACTGAAATAATACTGGGCATTACAGTTGTGTACATGAAATAGTTTAGAACTTTAATGAACTAACAACCCCTGCAAGTCATAGTAGCAACTGTGCAAACACTGATATAACTTATCTCTAAGAATTTTTCCCCAAGTTCTATGCTGTCCTGCTGCAGGCAACTGCTCCTCTATCTTAAAGTAGAAAGGAGAGGAGGAGGGGGGTGGGGAAAAAAAAAGTCCTAGTTGGATTGTGATGTATTTTAGTCACCTAAAATAGTGAGTATGCTCATGTACATGCAATATATAATGTGCAGTGAACATATGAAGTTCATCCAATTCCACATTTCCTTACAAATTCTGTGTTTCCTCAAAAAGAAGGGYAGATTTATGGAGTTTTCAGGCAAATCTATCCATAGTTGTTTTATTCATTTGTTTAAAGATTTCACAATGAAAGTAAATAGCATTTTCCTTTTCCCTGTGTGTTTCATCCTATCATTTCAACTGTGTTTTCTTTCAGTACATAGGATTAATTCTAATTTAAAACACGAGGTAAAATGTGTGTCTTCATGTTCAGACTTCATCCAAACTGGATTCTATTATAGCCCATTTTGTTCAGGACTATGCCCAAAGAGACAACTGATCTTTGAAATGCTTGCAAGGCCTTACTTGGTTTGCCTATTCTTAATTATATGAACTCATAACCTTATTTTGTATAGGTATCAAAGCCATTTTCTTTCTAATTATGGAACAACATCTACTGCTGCTCAGCCCAGCTAGGGTAGATCAGCTCCCCTGAGTAATATTATAGAAATTGTTCACATTAATGTGAGTAGAGACTCAGATCAGTCATTTAGGTGTTCTCTGGGTGACTATGACTCCTGCATATGACGTTTTGTCCGAGTTGTGCATACAACTTGGTGTCTGTTTTTCAGACACTGTTTTAGAGCAGGACTGCTGCCTGTCAATTTAGTTAAGCTACACTGAGTGTTCTTCCTCTTGGCAATGAAGCTGGTGGTTCTGTGAATGCAAATGCTCCTGAGATGGTTCTCCCTCCCCTCACCTGCTTTTGTGCATGTGCCAAGAAAACAATCCTTGAAAACATAGCAAAGAAAAGGATGTTGGTGTTGGTTTCTGCTGCTTAGCAGGGGAGGAGTTGGAGGAAGAAGTCCATTAGGCACGGYGATTTAACTATACAAGATAGACACTACCTACTGAGATATTTAGTGCAAAAATAATTTAATGCTTTGTCATGACTCTCTGAAAATAAACCAGTGTGAATCATAATATAGAGGCTGAATCTCTCGATAGAAGTGTTTTAGGAGGGTACACACAAAGGCATGCTACTCTGGAAATGGGCTGACAAACTGTTTTCCCTTCGTTTGTTCAGTGGAACTTGTACTGAGGAGTATAAGGCTATTGGGCTGTCCCATGCTCTCTGACAGCTGTTTGCAGTTTTTGTTTTGCCATTGTAACTGTTGCATGGTGCAACTTTTTTACGCTCCTAGACTGCTGCTTGGTATGCAGCAAACCCTGGTGTATATGCAGCTTGGGTAATGAATAGTGTATTCACTGGRTGACTTGGTCATTTTGGAGATGCCTTAGCAATAGCTGAACACTTTGCTGTCATAGCAACTTCTGAAATCAAGTATCTTCATTACAGAAGACTACAGGAGATTCTACACACTCATGATATGTATCAAATAAAAAAGGTATATTGAAACTTACAGTGCTCCACTCTTACCATTCACCGGTGATCAGCTTACATCTAGTCTGATATAATGCTTTTCATCTTTGGTCTGAGAAATTTAGTTGGATCTTTGAGACCTCAGCTTCCTTGCAGCTGCAGTTACGACAAAAAGGAACAACCCTGTAACATAAATGTCTTCTCTAACAGTAGTTGTCAGCTTTATGCTCAATAAAGCTGAATTTATCCCCCCAGTGGCCATTTTATAAACCAGAAAAGACAAATACCAACAGCACCTGAAGCTAATTTATAATGCCTTATGGCCTGGCTGACTAATTAACTCACCAAAAAGTGCTGGTGTGGGTGACCAGGCAGTTTTAATTATCCTATAAATGTGACAACACCTGTTACACCAAAAATGGAGAGACTGACTTCTGTGTCTTGTCCAACACTAGCACCTTTCATTTTCTTGAATGAGATATAGGTAACCACATCTCATTTTAGAATACTAATGGATAAAGTTTATAAATACAAGTAACTTAATCATACCTACTTTTAGGACTTAAAAATAAACATGTTAATTTGAAATTATGTGTTGCTATTCCTGTTCTGTGAAGCTAAATGTAATCTTCTAAGGTGTGAATGAAGCACACTTTCAAGTCTGATCTGATCTTTACTATTCTCACTAGCCCTATATTTTAAGGGTTTTTTATTAAAGAAATATTTAGGCTATCGTAAAGTGGAAATTTGGAAATTAATTTTAAAATATAGCTGTTATGAAGAATCAAAGGAAGGTAAACTGACACCTAAATATTAAAACACATTGGCTGCAATGCAAGAAAGCCTAGTTTAGAAATTTACTTTTAGAAAAGTATGGCTCAACTATGTACCTGGAAGCTTTGGGGCTGGATCTAGCTAACAGAATAATTAGATTTTGCTATTCATCTTAAAACTGAAAGCATAAGCCCAGGTAACTTATTTCTTCTCTATGCAATGTACATTTTTGAGTTGCTAGAATTCTTGTTTACATAGATTTATATACTTTTTTGGTCAAATTTGTAAATGAAACTGTATGGGCTGTCAATCTAGGTTAAAACTTTTGTTTTTATTCCCATTTCTTCTAGACATAGCTGTAATTCTTTCTTTTGCTTTTCTTTTCCAAGTGGCAGCAATGTCTAAGTTACTGCAGCTGTCACTTATATACTGACATCCTGCAGTAGTGTACATATGTGCCCCCCACCACTACCTATGTAGTACCTCTGTTAAATTTTTTAAAAGCCATGTGATACCTAGAGCACAACTCTGCAGATATTAATTACATAAAAGCAAGATTGTATATGCTGAATAAGGATACTGGAAAGTAGATAAAGGGAATTTTCTACATGATTAGCCCTCTTTCTACTCTTCCTAAGATGTCTGTTTAGGGATAGGAGATTCCAGCTGTTGTCAACAGGATATTGGTTTAGAACACAGATATGTGAAACAATCACACTTTTAAGATATCAGTAACATGTTCAAACTAAGTACCTGGACGTATTTTTTTATTACTTCCCACTGACATATATATTTCTAATATATAGAATTCTATATCTATATACCTATTAATACATCTCTATTAAGGTTTCTGGAAAAATATTAAGAAAAAAAAAGTTGTTTGGTTAGCTGTATTAATAAAACAACATTCTCTGGTGGTCTACTACTTAGTATCAGAAGCATAGCAATTTTTAATCACAACTTTCTCTCATTTTTCTTTGCCTGACACTTGTTTCAGATGCCTTTAGCGTTGCTGTAAACAAATACCTTTACAGGACATGTTCTTCTGCCAACTACAGCATTCACAACTTCACACACATGGTGTGTTTGCTCTAATAAAATCAGCTCATGTGGACTTCATTCCCAGGTAACATTAATCAGTGTTGTAGAAAATGTTCAATATTTGGATATTTCACTAAAGAAAACAGTCCTGGTTTGATCCTAGGAACTTCCTAAAAGTTAGCTTTCCCACTGTTCAAACTGGATTGTGTGCTGCTTATATAGAATATAATATCTTGCCTGAGTAAATTGTAAAGATATATCAACTTTGTTTTTTACACAAAAAGTACTATTTTGAGTTTCTTAATTTTCTCTCCCATTTCTGGTGTTCTCTCTGAATTAGCTTGAAAATGTTCCTTAAAACAGTTTTTAAAGGATTATCTATTTCAAAAGTGACACTAAATCTGGAAAAACAGGGCTTGGGAAGAGTGCTGGTAGCATGAAGTCTGTCTGGTTATCAGTGCAACTAAAGAATTTTTTTCAAGTATCCTGGAATAAGGAATTTTTTTCAAGTATCCACATCCGTGGATACTAGCAGGAAGGTATTTCAGCAGATATTTACAAGCCTTGTGGGCAATCCGAGGTCTCCAAAACTTGTGTTTGGATCTTTGTGCCTGAGCAAAGCCCAGCTTCATCTGTCAGGCTTCATGATCGGCTCCATGGCTCAAGGTTGAGCCCTAATGCTGTTGGCTTACCTCTCCTTTCTCCATGTTAGTGCAGAAACCAGAGGGCAAAGCCCAGGTGTTGTTTAAGGCTGATCATCCAAACAACCTTGTGGCATGAGGCTCATGAAGAAGCTAATCACTCTTGTTAGTGAAATTGTGTGTGAGGAAAGCTGTCCTGCTCCTCTGCTCTCCATAGTGCCCTGCTTCTTGGTTGAGGACAGCAGACACACCATCTCTTCCAACAGCCAGGGTTCAGTGGCAGGCCCCCATCCCGGCCTTTAAAAGCATTAAAGTGCTTTTTTTTTCCCCCCTCACGATGCTTCCCCCTAGTAGCACTCGCAGCGCTCGGAGCGTCCCAAACGGCCGGGCAACGTCCCGCGGCCGCGCGCGCGCCCCGCCCTCCAACCGCCGCTAACGGCCGCTGCCCCGCGGGGCGCGCGCGCCCTCTGCAGCCGCCCCAGCCCGGCCGCCCCCGCTGCCCCGCACCCCGGCGGGCGCCTCGCGCCTCCTGGCTCCTCCCCTCTTCCTCGGGAGCCGGCGGAGCCCCGCGAGCAGCCCCTCTCCCTGCCCCGCTCCCTGCTCGACCCCCGCCCGCCCGCTGCCATGGGAGCCCCCGGGGAGGCTCCGTGCCGCTAGCGGCCGGCGGCCGCGGCCAGGCGCACCATGCTGGGCATGTACGTGCCGGACAGGTTCGCCCTGAAGTCGTCTCAAGTGCAGGACGGGATGGGGCTCTACACGGCCCGCAGAGTGAAAAAGGTGGGTGGCCGCCTCCCTCTCCCCCTGCGCGCACCTCCCCCCGCCGCTGCCGCCGGGCCGCGCGCCGGCCGTTGGGCGAGCGGTTTAACGGCCSCCCGGCCCGGCCCGGCGCGGCTGCCACGTATCACTGGCGAGCGGGGCGGCTCCTCCGCCGCCGCGCTCGGGCTTCACCTCTGCCGCCGCCTCCGCTTCCGTCCGGTTCCCTTCTCCCCGGGAGAGGCACCCGCACCCCCCGCCACCCTGCCTGCAGCCAGCGGGGCCGCCCGGCCCGGATAGGGCACCGGGGCCGGGGGAAGCGGCTGCCGCTGGGCCCAGCGCCCCCRCGGGAGGGCGTAGGCTGTGCCTCTGGGTGTCCCCCTTTTCCCTAACTTTTTATTTAGTTTTTATCCTCCTCTATGGCTTTGTTTTGAGTGGGGAAAGCTCCGCCGGCAGGACGGCCGCCTTGGAGCACAACGCAGCGCTGCGGGCCGTGCCCCCGTCCGTCCCGGAGGATCCTGTCACTTGGCCGCCCCTCCAGCGTGGCAGGGCGGGCGGCTGCACTCGTGGGAGGTGGTGAAGCCCGGCCCGTGAACGAGGCGGTGCCGTTGGACTGCAGCTATATCCCTTAAATCGCTGTGTCTTGAGCAAGTCATGTCCCCTGATGCTTCCTAATTGAATTGAACATTTCTTGATTAGCTGAAATAGCAATTGTTTATAGTTTTTCGGGCAGATTGTTTGAGCAGCTTACTCAAATAGCTAAAGGCATACCTTAAATTCTTCTGCGTTACAGCAAACCTCTAGTTGTTTTATTTATATATTCGTTTTTTTTTCTTTACATCTTTGTCCTGCTTTTGTCTCTGACTGGTTTCCCAAGGCTGCCTTACAATGGTGAGGTAGTTTCACCCACCTTGAGGTTGGGGCATCTCACCTTTGAGGAGTCTGGGAGTTATGGGAGTTAATGGGAGAGGGGGAAGTCAAGCTTATTATTGGCTGTCTTGGAATTTCCTTTACTGAAGTTCAGAGCTTTTATTTGAAAACTTTGGGAACTGACATATCAGAGTTGATTTTAGACTACTAGCATACATTCTTGGACTAAACGAAATAGAGTCAAGCTCCCTAGAATGATCACCTGCAGAGTAATATCAATTCTGAGTGTCCATGTAGAATTGGGGGTCTGAGACTCCCTTCCTTTATATTGTTGTAAGCTGAATTTTTGGAACTGTGCACAAGGAAGAGTAGCACCTCTTTATTCTTGTCTGAGTTCTTCTGTATTGCAGATATTACCTCTTGATGCTTTTTAGCTATATTTATGTATGAGCAAGGTATAGTGCTGTCAGCTGTAGCTGGCACAGTGTTGTGGTCAAGGACCAGAGAGGTCTGCTTGTGTAGCTAAGCCAGTGTGAACTCTTCGCRCAGGATATCTCAGTAAAACTGTGATGTTGCAAGTACAATCTATGATACATTTGAGCCATGGAAGAGAACGGGAGAATTCACTCTATTCAGGAATGTATTCTCTGTCCTGGTAGCGCAGAAAATCTTGTTATACAGAGCCTTGCTCAGAAKTCTGTGTCCAAAAGGAAGATTTGCTCTCAGTAGAATGAGGAACCAGTTGCATTGCTGTGGGGAACTTGGCCCTGGTGGGATCAGGTATTCCAGAGGCATAAGTACTGCGTTTGACCACACACTGTTCAAAAAGTCAAGGAGTGCATAAATAACACAACTGACGCCTGGATAGAAATCAAAAGCAAATCTGAATTGCTTTCACTATTTCTTGGTGGCCTGTAGGGAGGCAGCAACACTGCAGTTCATTATATTGTAGTGTAATTAATAGCTGTTAAATAATGCCTTGGAGCTCACATTGGCAGGAAATGTTGAATATGGCACTAATTGTGAAATATGATTTATGTTCCTGAGTAGCAAATACTGCACCATTTTCTTTCTTTTGTTTAAATACACAAAAGCAATTGTGTTTATTGAAAGTAACAAATTTAGATAATCTTATAATCAGGAACTGGAGTAACAACTCTGCAGATGTTAAGTAAACATGAAGTAGGCCTCTGAAGATTATGGTGTTAGCAAAGTGCTGGTAATGATATATTTTTAACTCTTGTCTGCCATCTGCTTTTGTGCTGTCGGGCATTATGCCATGTTTTCAAGCTTTTGTCTGTAATCATAAAAGGTGGAAACTATTTTTTTTTTTGTTACCTTAACAAAAGCTGTGATTTTTGTGTAATTTCTTTTCTCTTACAGCTGGTCTTCAGTTCCATCCATGATATCATAAGACTCTTGGTATAATTATCAGAGAGCACTACTACATTCTTCTGTTTGCAGGGACTGGAACAAGATTAGTCACTTTCAAGAAACCAGCCGTTGAAAGCAGCTTTTTTTGRCACTTGGGTGATGCATCTTTTGTCTCTTAAATCACTTTTGTTGTTAACTCTAGACTAGTTGCATACCTCARTTTTATGGAAGTCTTAGTATGATTTTGATCAAGGTATGTTGGTGTGTGACGGCAGATCTGGTAACTAGAACTRGTAAATACATATACAGGTCTGAAGAAAGTCCTCTGGAAGTCTAACCACATAGAATTTTTACATTTATGACCATAGACCTTTGTGTGTAAGACATCAGGTTTAGTGGTCTTTAATTTCTGTTTTCTATTCAAATATGACTTTTTTTTTTTCTTTTAAAATGTGTACATAGGTCTGAATCACTGTGTTACAATTGCTTCTAATTGGAACTGGACATCTTACCTTTTACTTTTGCCGTTGCTTTGAACTTCTAGAGGATCTTAAACATATATTGCAGTAGAAATTTACTAGTTTAGAGCAGTCAGGGTAAGAATGACCTGGTATTTCTTGTTTTGTAACAGTGTGCACTGTTAAGCTCTTGCGTTTCACTCTGAGGTGGTATGTGCTTCGGTGATAGGTAAAATTGATCTTGTAGGTGCTTTGTAAGGTATCTGGAGATCCTTTGGTTTGTAAGGATGAAAGTTGAGAACTGTGGAAGCCTTTGAAATACTTCAGGAAAATAGTTCATCTCTGTACCCACTGAAATATGTATTGTTTAGCTGTTAAAAAAAATGACTAAAAAATGACTAGCTTTCTCAGGTTCCTTGTTCATTAGGTCTTCAAATGATTTCTGTATTAACTTCATAGATTTTTTTTTTTAATGGAGCTAATCTAGATTATAGTCAGACAAACCTCTTTTCATCTTGATAATTACTGTGAGTAATGAGTGGTACTGAAGATGCAATTAAAACCTCCCTTAGAGCCCAGCACTTGAAGGACCCTGCCTTCCTTGTTGCACCAAAGCCCCTTGATGCTAGTGAATGGAAGAAGCCAGTTCAGCCTGGCAGGAGGTCTCTTCCCGTCTCCGTTTCTGGAGAAGGGCAAGAAAAGCTCAGTGGGATTTGGCATTCTGATGCTTTACTGCAGCTGGCTGGGGCCATTCATTTCTAGGAAGAAACCCTGTGTTACTCCTTTGTCTACTCCATGACTTTAACCTAAGCAAACTGCGGCAAGTTGTCTCCATCCAGTGTAATATCTGCATGGTCCCTATTACATAGCGGTGTGTTTGTTACTTCTGATGTAAGCTGAGAACACTGAGACCTGCAAACATTTAATTGCAGTGGCCTAGTATTACTTTCATTATCARTGAGAAGAAGGAAGGAAGAAATTTCAGTTTGGATGTCAAATCCCGGGCTTTGTGTAGCTGGAAGATTAGAAAATCTTATTTGATTAGCAAAGTGGTGAAATTTGGTATGAAAATCAGTGAGAAGCGAGGGACATGAAGGCCTACAGTGTCAGGGTTTATTTTCGCTGTTTTTGTCTTTTTGCTTTTTTTTTTTTTYCCCCCTACTTTTTCTAATGGAATATTCCTTGGGCACATTTTAAGAAAAATTTCCTACATTTTTACTTTCTTGTACAGTTTCAGTTTTCTTTCAACTGTTTGTTACCTCTTACATACTTCAAGTTTAAATACCAGAATATTTTATTTGCTTGATTACCTCTAAGAGGAAATATCCCGGTGGTTTCCCATTCCCCTTCTTCCTCTCCCCTTTACCAGGAGGCAGTTTGTTAATGCTAGGGAACTGGGAGCATGATGTTCCTGAGATGTTGAACGTATATGGAGGAATGGGCATGTAAACAAGATTGATACAATATTTTGGCTAATAAAAATATTTGAAAAGAAACACTGCAATTTTTAGCATATAGTTATACTTTGTAATGCGCTCAAGTACGTAGAGCTTTTCAATCTGAATATTGCCTAAAGGGAAATAGCATTCTGCATTCCAGCTTGTAGGCTTTGTCACTGCATGTAAAGATTCAGATTAGGAAAAAGGCCCGTTGAAGAGGAAAGACCCAGTTTAATTAATTCAGCCTGCTGCTAATGTGACGTCTGTGAAGGAAACACCCCCAGAAAACCAAGCTTTTGGAAGGCCATGTCAATGGATGCTTTCACAGCATGTGTTATGACCAGCAGGTGGTATAACATTTTTATCTTGTTTATGAAGGCTTGATTAATTCATATGTGCATACTCCCTGCTTTTTTTTTTTTTTTTTTTTTTTTTTTTTTTTTTTNAATGAATCTCTTGGTATAGTCAAAACCTCAAAACTATTCAATGTTTTGATTTGTGGCACTTCCAAAATAGTGTTGCCTTATTTATAATGAAGAGAAATTATATTTGCTACGAGGAAAATAAATATCCAGAGGAAAGGTATGATTCTAAGCGCAAAATGTTATGTGCAAAGCTATGAAAAGAATTGGAAAGCCTTACCAAAATAGTGTTGTTACATACTGCTGCCTGTAACTGTTTATAGGTCAGACACTAAGTAAATTTAAGAAGTTGTACCAAAGTTGAATCCTCAAGCATATGACTCCTCAAGGATGTGCACCTTTTTTGGAAGATAGGAGTAAGGCAAGAAAATTGTTCTTTTCCATTTAAAGCTAAAATTGATACCTTTAAAGAAGTTTGGGAGCAATCTACTTGCTTTTTTCACTAACTCATTCTACTTTATGATCATTCCGTTTATTTTATTATCATTCCATAGGGTGAAAAATTTGGCCCCTTTGCAGGGGAGAAGCGAATGCCTCGGGAGCTGGATGAGGACATAGACTGCAGGCTCATGTGGGAGGTGAGTGGTCCATAATGACATCACACCTGGTAAAATGTGTTCCCAGTATTAGGTCATTGCTATAATAAATCCTTTTTTTTCCCCCCACAGCTAAGGAAGCTGTAGTTAGATTTTGTACTTATTGGCCATTTCAGAGTATGTTTCTTTTGAGAGTAAGCTGACTTCTTTAAAAAAGAAAGTGCAAATGATATTTTCTAAGCAATGAAGTGTCAAAAGCATCAAGTCAAGAAAAAATATGTTAAGAAAAAGGTGGACATGTAAAAATAGTTAAAATTATTAAAGTTTTAATATGGAAAATATGGTTTGATATGGAAAGATGATTACTCATTTATGGTGACGGACAGACATCAGAGATCATAGGTTCCTCCAACTATAAAATAGAACATTCCCTGCTGTGACATTCGTGCGAGGATTTAGCAGTTGTATAAAGAAAGCTTTTATGTTATAGTAAAATTTATAATGCAGTCAATAGCTGCAATTCTTTTGCAGAATGAAAACCTGGTGCCCCGAGCAGATGAAGGTATATGGAGCTTCAGGATTTTTTAAAACTCTCATATATATATATATATATATATATATATATATATATCTCGAACAAAACAACAGTTCATGTGCTATAATCAGGATCTTAAACGGTACAATTTTTCTTGTCGTAGTTGTGTTTACATGTAGGAAAATCCTGTCTGCATTCACCACTTGAAGAGAGGATGTTCTGACTGAAAAATACTTGCTACAACCAAACTTTACAACTTGTTCAAAAAAACTTATGCTGCAGTTTTTCTTTTTTTTTTTTTTCCTGTTCTTTCCAGTCTTCCATTCTGTCCAGAGTTCCATTTAGATTTTTTTCCCCTCAACCAGATGACCATAACAAGTATGTTGTGCTGTGCAAAAAGGCTTGTATTTTGTTTCTCTCAAAGTACAATCTATACATTTATTACAAGAGAAATCTTTATTTCAAAACAAAACAAGAACTCTAGCATTAAAATCACTGAACTGTATATAAAGAGAGCATAGTATTGGCATGATCTTTACACAGCTGAAAATAATTTCCTAGATTCTACGTAGTGAAACAATTTGTAAAATAATACAAAAAGTCCATGTCATTACATTCAAACTCTATTTAAATGTAGCAGTGGCATACAGTATATTTCTAGATGATTTTTACTCAAGTTCTGAATCCTCGCCCCTTTCTTTTTTGCACTTCCCTTTGAATCACTCCTTTTGCTTTTTTCCTTTTTTTTTTTTCTTTTTTGATCTTTCTTTTTATCTGTGAGATGTACCCAAAATATCGACAACTCCAAAGTAGGCATGAACTTGTCATTTCTATGTCGTCTTTGGTTATATAAAGAGAAACTTGTTTCATTTTCTTTGTTCTCAGCTGAAAACAAAATGATACAATGTGTTTTTATTAGGAATGCTTGCAGAATATAGTACATGTTAATATACTGTGTCTCACTTTCCCTTTCATGAGGTTTCTGCAGGTTGTTTAAATCAATAACATTTCTGAATCAGAACAAGGACTTTAGGATGGATGGTGGGGGGATTATAGCAATGAGAAGGTCTTTTAATTTATGTTGCTTGAAAAGCCATATGATCTTCCAAATGTCTCATTGCTGATGATTAAATGGAATTTGTTTGTCCTTTATAAAGCAGAAATAAAAGTCAAATACATGTATTTATTGATGACACTAATGTGACCCCATTGACAGCAAAGCAGAAAATTAGTTTTTTATGAGCTGTTCTAAGACCTTTTTGTAGTATCTTGTTCTAACCTAGTTTTGAGAGCCTTGAAAAGTTTTCTACATACCAGATTTTATGACTTCCTGAATTTTTGAACCCAACTTGTTCATGTTTACTGAAGTTGATCTGAACACAGTCTTTATAATGTAATTTAAATCATGCTGAGAGACATCTTACGTTGAAAATCAAGACCAGGAATGAAGGAGGTATAAAGAAGTTGAATAATCCAAGTGGATGGTTATTCCAGAGACTGCCAGAGTGAGTCAAAGCAACTAGTGAAGTTTATGCATATTTAGGTGTACCAAATATATTAAAAATAACTATTTGGATGGCTGCTGGATGAAAGTACATTAATGCCTGACCTCTCAGTCTGATCACAGTCAAGAATGTGGGTTTTTTGGGAGGACACCTTTAGAAAGAAGACTAAAAAGTAGAGGTTTTACATTTTCATGGGTCATCTAAAAATGAACATTAATGAGATAATATTTTATTTGCTTATAATACCTATGTCTCAGCTTCCAATTTTTTTTTGGTATGGTCTTCTGTAAGGAAATTTACCACATGCCTTTCTAGTGGTCCAAAGTTGCTAGTAGCTTGTATTGTGGTCTTTTTTAATCAAGCTGTACTTTTTGCTCTGAGATCAGCACTATAAGGTGGCACCTTTAAGAGGTTACATCGAAACTGAATTGCAGCCATTATGATAATATTGGTCTTTTGGAAGACATATAACTTGGAAGCAATTTTAGGAAGTTTACTGGTGACCAGTCATTTTGTTAAATAAAGTTCTGAGAACATTAGAGTTGTGATTATATTAGTTATAGATGAATGTCATTAGTCTGCTTATAATTTGCATAATATTGAAGGAATGAAATGTTTTACACTTGCTCATTCAAGAATCTCTAAAAAATTGAAACAAAAGCATCCTTTATCTTGCTGTTGTCTTTGTAAAGAATTAGCTGCTGAAAATTTTACTTGCAAGTTATGTGAATGGAAAGCAAACCAGAATTCCCAGAAAACTTTGATGACAGTGTGGTCAGGAATAATGATTTTAAAAAGCCAGCAAAATACCCAGGTAGCTTTTTTTTCTCCTCCCTGCCCCTCCCCCCCCCCCCTTTTTCCCCACTATTATCTCTCACACTGTCTAATGATTAAGTATGCAGCTAGCCCTGGTGATGATTTGAGAGTTTGCTTGTGTATGTATGTACTTAGTGTCCCACAAATACCTTGACAAAGTGCTACCTAGTTAATATGAATTAGTGTTATATTTGGTCTTCCTGCAAACACATGTAAGTTTAATATTGCTAGCTCAAGTGCTTTGAGTTGAAAACAGAATATTCTTTAGATATTCAATTTCACAGAAATTTTTGCTTCTGGAAGCTGCTAAGATTTATTATTTTCTTCAGCCTGTGAAGGGAAGATATGTGTTGAATTTTCCTTTATTGTCCAAACCGAGAAAGCGGYATTCATTTCAATACTCTTGGATTGTAGCAAGCATATACTTCCACTGATGACTTTGGCAAATGTTAAAATGAGGTGGGTTGGAAAGACTTGGTTCTCTTTCAAATATTTTGTCATACCACGAAGAAGTGTTGGTCAGGGTAAGATAGCACATGCTAAACTGTGTAACACTGAATGCTACATATTTCAGGTGTGGTTTCTGTCTGTCTTCCAAGATGATGTTTTCTTCATTGCTATAAATTAAATATGAGAAGAACAGAAACATGTTTGAGATCAGTCTTTCTGTGGAAGCTAATGCTCATGCTTATTTTTATTAGCAAGTGAAATGAAGTCATATTTCTGCTACTTAATGCTAAATATTTTTGCACTATGATTGTTTTCAGTTATATAAAACTCCCCAAAAACATGCAAAGTCAGTGGAAAACTTAGCTGGCTTTGACTAGCTTTAGATCAGAGCCCTTATATATAAGACTGAGGTCTGACAAGTCAAGCACTTTAATGGAGTATTTGTGTTGCTGCTGGGGTTTTCTGGAAGGGAACTAGTAAAATGCATGGTTCTTCAAGTATTTTAAAGTTATTTATGAAAGGAAAACATTACAAATCAAATTTTGGGGAGAAATGCAATAATTGGATTGCAGGTGCTTTAATAAGTTTCTTTGAAGGTTTTCTATCTCAGTTTGTGATGCACAAAAGTATTTTTCATTTTCTACAATTTCCTTCCAGCAATGGTTGTGGCAGGCAGTGTCCTGAAGATTTCTGGTGAAGCTATTGAGCAATTTGAAAGTTCTTTGCAAGAGAATTTGAATTTTTTTTTTTTCAGAATGACTCTTGCTTTCTTCCCTGTGTGGAGTAAGTGGTAGGATTTTGTATGTGCATCCTTGTAAAAGAAGATTCTCTGATACAAAAAAGCTAGGAAGCCCTAGTTAATTTAAGATGTGGTGCTCCAGAAACCAGTGTGCTGCTTTTTAGCTCTGTGGAGTGGAAAGGTAAATTGCATTATCTTTAAATTTCTTGAAAAGGATGATTGTAGCTTGATACATTAATCTTGTGCTCTTCCTTGCWTTATAGCTGGGGCAGTTTCCATGGCTGGAAATACTGAGGCTACGCAATACATTTCTCATCTTTTCCAGTGTCAGTGATGACAAATGCGAGAGGGGAAAATGTCTTTTTGCTGTAGCCAGCAGGATTGTAGGTGCCTGCAGCTCAATATCTGTCTGAGTGAGAGAATCTCTGATSCTGTCTCCTTGGATATGTGAATAGATTTACAAGCAGAGGCCAGACTTAAGTCCTTTAGCTTGTGTTTGTTGATGTGTTTCCTAATTGAACTGATTCTCCTTTTAAATGCTCACACCACAAGGCAAGGACATGGTTGGGGAATCTAATGAACTCTTACTGGAGAGAGCATCCTTTGGGATATTTCGATGTAGTAATATTTTGATATGAATGAGGGTTAGAKGCACCTAGTTTAAACTAAAAATGTACAACCCACTCTTATTTAACTATCATTATTACCTTGTACTGACTTTCAATTTGAGGAAGTGTTTTTGACTTTTTTTGTGGCTTTTATTTCTTTGCATCTACATTTTTAATGTAGTAATATTTCTTTATGAGATGGTAAAAAGTAAATGTAAATTGGTAAAAGTAATGGAAAGTGTAACATCTGTCTTTAAGGATTTAATCATATTCTTTTGTCAAAGTTTCCTTATGTGTTTCCTTATTCCTTCTTTGTATATTGATATTTCTTCATGGGTAGGCAAATATTGAGAAAGATAGCTGAGATTATGGTGTGGCATCAAGGAGAATATACAGTTTTGTACCAGGATCTTGACTGTTTCTCTTTGCAATATAAGTCAAGAATTGATTAAAAAAAATTGCAGTGCTGCAAGTACTCTTGCTGAAAAGCATGACACTAGCTTGATTTAWGTTACTCAAAGATAGTAATCTGCACTGTTAACCATTATCACCGAGTGATGTTGTTCTACTAGGCAAGTTACATATTTAGAACCAAGTGATTATTACAGCGTAATCAATGCATCACGTCTCTAATATTTGATGGGACTTTTCAGGAACTAAATATATGAATAGCAAGCATRTGAATGTGAATTTGGAGCTTTCTTTTGTGGTTTGATCGTATTCATTTTGCTCATATTCCTAATGGAACTAATCGTTCCAATAATGGATTGACATTGGCAAATGAAATAATGTAAAAACCTACATTTAGATATATAGCTTTGATACTGTTCAGTGTGATATATGGTTAGTCCAGGTGTTTGAAAGTAAACTTTTAAAGTTAGAAATAGTCACAGCTTTTCATGATATGTAGACATCTTCCTCAGAAGGACAGTAATAATTTTTAAAGGATTTTATTTGAAGAACTAAGGTAATCATTTTATTTTAATYTGAGAACAACATGCTGTCATCAGCTATTATTGTAATTGAATATAGTTTTTCTCTCTAGCAATATCTTAAAAGTTTAGGTAATTTAAGCATTCATACTGAAAACATATGATAGTGCATCTATTGGAAACAAATACAGCATGTATGCATGTGAGCAATTTAAATGCAAAGCTGTGATGACAATCTAATTTTGGTCTTGCATAGGGGAAATCCCTAGTTCTTAGAAAATACCTACAATGGACACTTCTTGTTGACAGATAAAGAAAATATGTTCCTTGTATAAATAAATCACAGGGAATAATAATGCTGTGGCGTGACCTTCTTTTGTAGCTCTATATCCTCTATCTCAGAGGAGATTTAATGGATATACTTTTACAAAAAGCCATTTTTCATGTAGTGAAAGTGGCAGCTATATACTGTCAGCAGTATTTCTTTGTGTTTTGAGAGAGAAGAAAGACTGTTAAACAAACTAAGTTTCTATTTGCACTTTTTTCATGTAAGTTGAAATTTGGATACAGTTGTAAAAATGCTGTGGATCTATAATGAGAACAAGAATTTCCTCACATGAAGATAGTATCATTTGTGCAATTTTTTTCTTCAGAATAGTGTCTAACAGAGAAGTATTGGACAGTTTGCTACATCTAGCGGTACAACTATCAGTCAATATTTTTTGGAAAGATAGGTTCCACTAGCAGCGTGTGAAGTGTGGAACATGTCACTTTATAAGTTAAGTTTGTGATGCTTACGTCTGTTTTCTGTCTACAGGGCAGTTTTAAAAAGTGTCTTCCTCACATGTTTGTTTCCCATGCTAAATATTTTACAGCCCTTCACCTACGTAATATACTAATTTGATTTTACTGAAATCATCTCATATGCTGAAAAAAATTCAGCCAAGTGTAGTTTGAGTAACTGATATACATTAAGGCCACCTATATGTCTTCAAATGAAGTTTACATATATGAAAGATATCTAAATGAGAGGTAAAATATGAGATAGATAATAGATAAATGCAGTTTTATTGGTTCTGAATCTAAACAATTCACACATGCTAAACGAGCAGAAAACCATAGAAGACTTGAAATAGAAAAGAGGAAGGTAATTTTTGAAGAGTGTTTTATAAGTTTCTGAAAGGATAAGATTGTCATTGGAGCACTGAGAGCTAGCAGTAATGAAACGTATCTACTGGATTTGGGATTAGGATGAAGAAAAATGTATTTGGTGATAAGGAAGAAAAAGAGATATTGCTAACAGAGGTATAGGCTAGCAAAAGAGGCAAAGAGCAGATAATTCATGTTTGGCTTTGGAGCTGATTAAGCAATTGTATGCTTACAGGAAAAAGCTTCAATCAAAGACAGCAAAAAAGATGAGTTCAGATATGAATGTATGCTGTTATCAATGGTTGTTTAAAGCTGAAGTACTTCTGGAGATGGTGAAACTATAGAAATAGCTTATTTGGGGAACTGGCAATAGAGGGTAATATAATTGGCATAGGAAGAATAATTTGGAAGAATATGTCTGAAAAAGAAAGCAAAGTATGAAGAATTACCAAATCACCGAGTTGCAAACGTGAAATGGGTGTCTGCAGGAATACAGAAACAGGAGGAGAGAAATACAGAAGGAAGAGCCCGAACACACTGGTACTAGGAACAAATGGTTGAAATAGCATAAGATTAGAGAAAGTCCTACCCCTTATGTTTAACAGAAAGTTATTGCTGGTGTTGTCTGAAGTTACAGTAAAAGAGAAACATGACACAGTAAGTTGATGAGCAACTTGGAGAACACACGCAGGTTACAGAAGAAAATAATTCACTCTTGGACAGTAGTTTGGAAAAGGAAGAGGGGACATTCACAGTAAATTGTGAGGAAGGGAAAAGGAATTGGAAGCAGGTGACTTTCAAATTCAAGTACGTAGGAAGGAGTGAAAGAGACTGAATGATGACAAACTGGGACAGAAGAGGAAGAGCTAGGTAGACTGTAGGAGTAAAATACTGGCATCAAAACATGCAAAGGAGGAGAACTCAGGAAATCTGGAGAACGGATGATGGGATTGGAAGGGAAAAGAGCCTCAGATTTTATCAGTTTCTGGCAAGAACGTAAGGAGAGGAAGATTTGAAAGGAAAAGGGGGAGGAAAGAACATGAGTCTGAATAATCATACAGATGGTTTGGGGGATCCGGGAGTCATAATACAGAGATAATTAAAAGGAAAAGATCAAGCAAAGAGTGAATTCAGTAAAGGAGACTGACACCAATTGCTGGATTTGAGTTGCATGCCTATTTGGAGTTAAATGTGCTTATAGAAATAGGTGAATGGCACCTTAGCTGGGAACACCTGCTGCATTCAACAAGTGGTGCAGCTGCTGAGCACCAGCCTGCCTGTGTCTGCCAGTGGTTCTGTTTATTTGGTAGGTACTGTAAGCAGTTTTAATTTTGCCTGTTCTTATTAATGTTCCAGGTTCGTGGGAATAAAGGCGAAGTCCTTTATATCTTGGATGCAAGCAATCCACGCCATTCTAATTGGCTGCGTTTTGTCCATGAGGCCCCCTCGCAGGAGCAAAAGAACCTGGCAGCCATTCAGGTAGGCTTCATGGATTCCTACCATCTTCTTCCAGTTACTAATTTAATAAATTTGTTTTTCTGTTTAGTTTTTATCTCTTTCAGTAAACCTTCAGAATGAGAACCACAGCAACCATACTGCTTTCCCTTTCCCACCCTTTTTATTGAGAATAAACTCTTGTGCTTAAATGTGATACCAAAAATAAGACATTGTTAGATTGAAGGACTGAAGAAGTCCTCATTTAGAATTTGGCTTTCCTTGAAGCATTCGTGTTAATCCACTGTCACAGAATTACATTGAATCCTTTGATGTGAAGAATTCCTAATTCATTACTATGTCCAGTGTGTGCCAGGTTTTCTTTTTCTTTTCCAGATATTATGTTAAACTACTATATAGCTATATTGCATCATAATATTCCTTACTTTGAATATGCCTAGTGCTTTTTGCATGCTGTTTTAAAGGATCAAAGTGGAGTTAAAGGATATATATTTGTAAATATATGAGATAATGAAAGGCAAACTTAGAAAACAAACAAGGATTTACYAAATTCTCTTTTTCAATAGATATGATCAATAATCACTTACCACATTGTGAGTGATCATGATGCCATGCATGTATACACATATGTACCTATACACATACATACCTGCATACATTTTACATACATGTATATATTTATGTATTTAATTACACTTAATATGAGTAGGTTCTACTCGTGTTAAATAAAGAAAAATATGCCCTGTATCTTTATATGGTTTGATCCCAAGTTAATAAAGTGAAATGTAAATCCTAAAACTCTGCTATTGCTTTAGCAAACCAACTAAAATAAGATAAACCAAAGCTGGAGAACAAGCCTATCCTAGACTATTCAAAGAATGCCTAAGAACTTAACACTAGTTGTGTGCTTGACAGCTGCTCTCTAGAAATTTACTGTGCGATTTTATGTGTATAAAAATGTGAATGGAAGCTAAATGACTCCCTTCTTACCAGTCCTCTTTCCAGTCTCCAAACACTGCAATGGGAGCATTTTGGTCTACTCTGAGAACACCTCCAATTGTAGTTGTGTTACTGCAGTAGTGATAAACATCGTAATCTTATATCCCAAATGAAGCAATTGATCATTAATTCACTGTTTACTACCTAGTGTGTGGCTCTGAGTTTAGAAGAAGATAAATTGGATGTAAATGCATGTAAATAAAAGCATGTAGGTAAATGAAATTACATCCTGGGCTTTGCAGGAAAATATGAGTAGTTCCTCATCAGTCAGTTGAATCCAAAAATCCTACTTAGATACTGTACAAAATCCTTCCTGTAGTTAAAAAGCGATTTATAGCACATGAGTGGTGGTGTGATAGTAGCTGTGATAGTAGGCTAGTTCAGGTGAAAGCTGTTGCTCGTATTGTGACAAGTGTTCTAGCTCTGAATTATGTGACAGCTCTATCATGGAGCAGTCATGTTTCAGTATTTTTTCCATTTACAACACATAGGAAGTATTTTTAGCAACTGTTCTGTAAGAATATCTATATGTGACTGATAGAAATGCACTGAAATGTTGGAAGGTACCTGCATATGTCCTGATTTTTTTCTTCTATGTATTTTGCACAGCTGAATTGCTGGAGGCAGTTAGAGGAGGCTCCTCTAACTAAKTTCAAGTAGCAATTGAATGAGTTAGCCTGCTGCTGTGTTTCATGGAACTGTRAAATTGCAAATCCTGCATTAGCAGACACTGTATGAATTGTAATTTTTTTGCCCTGGGCCATTCCTAACAATTATAAATATGATATTTGATATGTAGCAAAAATATACTGTATTTGTCATAATCAAAATGAAATGTCTCCTATTAGATATTCCTGAAGGAGCTGAGTTGTTTGTTTTATTTTTAGCTTTTAGGTTATTATATTTTCAATATTATATAGTCCTGAATGAATATGTGTATGTGTTTATCAGCTGTAATTTTACTAAGCAATCTCAGCTGGAKATGACTGTGCAACAAAGATCCTGTTGTGGTTAAGGTCAAAACTGTTTTATAAACAGAATTGCTGCCAACTGGAACTTTAAATTCAAATGCAGTTTCATTTATAAGTAGACACTTAGATGATCTGGTGTAACTCAGAATAACATGAGTTAGAATAATAAAATAGCAAAAGTTAATGTGAAAGAGAGGATATTTACTGTGAAGGGGTAGTTTAAGTTGTACTTCACAAATGTAATGGAAGAAGATTAGCATATGAAAAACAGTGCTGTCATAACTATAGCAAAATATGGCTATAGTTATTATAGCACTGTCTCTCACATACAAATCTCCACCTAGCAGGCAAGAGTAAGGGGAGAAGACACAGGGAAAGCAAGGACAAAGTGTGTGAAGCTGTTCCATAAATTTGCATATTACAGGACAGTTTGGGGCATTTCTGAAATGTAGCTCACTGCAAAGGAGTGATTAACTTGTTATGAACTATATGCAGTAAACAATGGTAGTTGTTAGCATTATGTATACTGTCCTCCAAAGTACATGGGAGGGTGTATRACTCTATGGAGAGAACAAGAATCTGAATAGATGAAGCACATGTGGCTGAATAAAAATGGAACAACAAAAGTTATTTGAACAAAAATAAGTAGTTGGAAGGCGAGTGGTCGTAGTCTGCAATGCACCATAGAAAGGGAACAGAAAGGAGGAAAGGAATTCAAGGAAGGGGGGAGGCAAAGAAACATTGCCAGAAGAGCAAACTAGGAATGTGGAAGAGAGGTCCTGATGCCAATGRACATGAATTGCCCGTCAAGGACCCTTGTGACCTATAGCAGATGAACATAGTTAACAAATTGCCCAGGATGGCCTAACTGGATGGACAGACAGAACAGTTGCAGGTGTGTTCTTTGTGAGTGGGAGAGTTATTAAATTATCTGAAAAATCTTTTACTGTGTCTACTGTGTCCCTGTCTTCAAGCATGTAGATAAATGTATTTCATGCAGGTGCTGCTAGCCATGGGTGGAGGGGAAGATTTAGATTCCTTTTTCTGGATCACTTCCATTTGTTTCAGTGAAAAGGCTGTCCGTGGAGCTGCAGCGGTAAGGGAATATCTGGACAAATTAGTGCTTTGATTACCTGACGATTAGTGTAGCTGGAAAAACCAGCTGAGGAGGAAGAATTAGCTGTGGAGGAAGAATGTGCTTGAGCTGCTTTAGTTTGGATTAGAATCCAAAGTAAATCCTTTTCAATGAAAATGCAACAAAGATTAGTGAAGCATTGGGGTTTCTGTAGTACTTTTTCATTAATCTTATTATGAATGGAAAGTACACAAATGGGAACGATGTGGGACACGTTTTGGCACAAAGAGCAGTGGGCTTATGGGGAAATGTAGAGGTGGTCCAGATGCAGTAGTAGCCRTAAGAGCTCGGCTGTTGGGATGCATCTGCTTGATGTACACGAACCTAATAATCTGAACAGGTTGTTGCTCCCCCGGTTTACTGTGCAGTGTAGAGTATGTCATATGTAAACTAATTGCAAGCTGCACTATTTGGTTGTTTATTAAGTTTGATACTTTCCTGCAATGGTTTTYGCTCAAGTGGAGAATGAATGTAGGAAGATCACCTTTCACCAGATCTCAGATCACCTTTGCAGATGATATGATTTGAATTTAGATTGTAGAAAATTCAAGTTCTCTGAAACTCTTGAAAGAGTTATATGAAAAACAGCAACTCTTACATGTAAGCAGAAGTTAGGATGGCTGGTGGGTATCTGGACCGCTGAGTCTATCTATTCTCTCTTGAAGAAAATGTGTAATTAATTAGACTTTCAAATGCTGTCATTGAGATAAGGATGGAAAAGTAGTGGGTCCTTGAAGGCTGCATCTGCTGCTGAGTCTGTTAAATTAAATAGGTTTCTCTGTGTGTGACAGTAACTTGTGTAATACATTATAGACTTTCCAAAGTGTGAGGAGTCCTACATCCCTGTTGACAGTTTAAAGTAGTCTTAGTATATTACAAAAATTAAAAGTCAGTATCTTGTCCTTGTGCTATGAAGCCTGTTACAAAATACATGGCTAGATGTACTGTAAAGAAGCTTCAATTAGTTTGCTTGGATGTTAATCAGATAAACTTTAAGATTTATGCCAGTACTTGGAAGTTTTCATTAACGTAAACATGAGTCTGCTTTTGGTGCTTTGGGTAGTACCCAAACCACTTGGTTCACATATGGCAGAAAAAAGCAGCTCTATATATCAGTTTAGAAGACAGCTGCTTCCTTCCTCCCCCAGTAACTTTAATTAAACATTTTCAAAGACRAAGTTGTTGGCTTATGTATCTATTTGGAAGCTCATTTATTCATTGTGGAGAAATTTGGGGGCCTCATCGTTCCCTGCGCTGTCCTCTCGGCAGGATCTCGACTGTATCTTCTACCCTCTATGCATCTGCATGTCAACAGCAAGTTTAAATCTACAGAGGGTTTTTACTTTTAAATATACTTTATAGAGCCAGTTATATTTATACTGCTAACTTGGTAGTAAAGATGCTGACCAGCGTTGAAAATCTGTTCATAAAGAAGTTTGTAAATCTTCTAAGTTGGGGGTTGGGGAAGATCAGAAATAACAAGCAGAAAACTCTCCCTCACCCCCCCTAATATGTAAGCCATACAGCCAATAGGGGACAGAGCGAAAGCTCTATTGATTACGTAAGTATTTTTTTTCCTAATTCTTGAATGTTTCATTTTCCAGCTCTGAAGTTCTAGTCAGACAGGAAGCGCTTAACACCGCTTCATCCTGACATAGGCTACAGCACAAATTGTAAAAGTCTCACAGGTGAGGCAGAGGGCATGTTTCAGAACACCAGAATACAAGAGCAATTTATCTATGCAGCCATGCGAGGAAAGAAATCTCAAAAGGGCTATTCCAACTCTGTTCTCCCTGAGGGCTAGTATTAGTTTAGGCTTCCAAATGTACCATTTTACATTTTTTTGATATAGTCATTCACTGATAGTCGTTCATACAGTTATTCTGTCAGACATTTGGACATTCATGCTCAAAATCAGTCATTCCACTTTTTGCAATAGGAAGGGGAAAACATTTTCTACCTGGCAGTGGAAGATATTGAAACAGACACAGAACTTCTGATCGGCTACTTGGACAGTGACATGGAAGAAGAGGAAGAGGAGGAGGAAGAGGTCCCTGTTATCCAGGAAGATGAAGACAGTAACAACAACAAAGAAGTGCAACCAGTTGGTGAAAAAAGTGCAGGTAGGTGAGCAACATGCGAAAAGATAAATTGAGAGCTTAAAAGTAGTAATGAAGAGAGAGAACACCAGCTTTATAACACTGGAAAATTCCAAGGGTCCTCAAGTGTATTTGTATGACTTTGTATCTCATGGATTCACTTTGGATTGGGGTTCTTTTTGTCTAGCATGGGAAAGCAACTGTTATGAGTTAGAATAAGTGAGCCTGCATTTTGTGACAAGTTATCAAAAATTTTTAAACTTCTGTTGGATTTTCTCACCTGCCTATAGCTTTATAAAAGCTGAGTTTTTGATCTGAGAGGGGGAAGTTTCTTCTATCATAAGTGATGAAATAACTTTATGAAATAAATCTTTCCATAAAGCAGTTCAGCCAGTCTTAAGGTAAGATATCAAAGAAATGATAGGTGATTTGAATTACTGTGATGAACTTACAGCCAGGGTCAGTTTAGRCTAACAAGCTAAATCACATCCATCTTTATGCTTTGCATCCGTTTCTGACAAAATTGGAGGCAGGATTTACCCATTACCTGCTGGCATTTTGTGTGAGTAGTTCATTGAGAGACAAAGCCTGTTGTGAATTTTACAATGCCATTTTGTGTTATCTGTTTTTGAGTGAGAGTATCTCTTAATGTAACCTGTGTTCCATGAACATTATCCCCTTATTGTTTTCTCCTTCTCCTCCAATGATGCAGATCCTCTTAGTTGTAAAGAGGACCATGCATGCCCAAACTGTGAATCCAGTTTTGCCAGCCAGGAGATCCTAGCTGAACATCTTCAGACRTTGCACCAAAAACCCAGTGAAGAGAAGGAATTTAAGTGCCGCAACTGTGGAAAGAAATTCCCTGTTAAACAAGCTCTGCAGAGACAGTGAGTAGGAACAAGATTACTTTTCAGTGATCCTTTAAATTATTGATTTCTCCTGGCTTAATCATAATTTTAGCTTTAATTTTTATGCCTGTATGTTTGAATTCACTGGATAATACTTAAGAATCTAAGAGGTACAGTAGATACTGTTGCCTTTACTGTTTGAGTTAATCGCTTGTATAGCTCCTTCATTACATTCACTTTTCTAATATGTTGACTGTCTGTATTTCTTGGGAATTTCTTGTCACAGAAATGCAGTAAATAAATTTTTAATTATAAATTACAGATCGATCAGAGCTGGTTGATCCAGAACTATTGGTCTGTATTAGTGGACTATTTAGTAATTTARGAAATAATGCTCTAACTGAGTAAAATATAGCACAGAAAAAATATAGTTGACTTTGTGGGGTTTTTTTGTATATTTTTGTGCTTGTAACTAAATGGATATAATGCTTTTAATTATACATTTAATTATACATAGTACTACATTTAATTCTCTCATATCAGGAATAACAGACTCACATTGCATAGAGTGCAATTAAGACTGTTGCTGTAGTGAATTTTTCTGTTACTTACATTTGAATAATGTTATTAGTCCTAGCTGTTTATAGGCTTTGTGTTCTCTCATGGAAATAAATAAGGGAATTGTATTGTGGAGACATATTTGGTGATTGATAATTAAATATGTTTTGCTGAAAATGTATTTGTTTCTGCTGATCTGTGGTAGGATTTGGATTTGTGTGGCATGGCCAGTTTGATACATCTTTACATCATGCAGAGTTCATCTGATGAAGAATACAGTAGTATGTCTCCAACTGTTGCTGTGTGTGCATGTGGTTAGTCCCCATGAATTCCAGGGTACTTCAAGCATTAAATAAACCATTTATTTAGATAAAGAGTTGTAGAACTGGATCTGCATTTTTACTATTTCAATCCTGTGTAAATTGTAAAATTATTACATTTTATTTATTTATTTATTTTAGTGTACTTCAGTGCACAGAGAATATCAACCCAGGAGATGCTTCAAGAAGTTTTCAGTGCTCTGTTTGCAATACTTCCTTCAGCTCAGAATCGAGGTTTTGTGTCTGAGTTACTGGACTGCTGTCATGTCATTGCTGGCCTCCCTTTGCATGCTAGCTTTCAAGCTTGTTAGTTTATGTGAATCCTAACAGTGAAAGAAGTCAAATGCTTTCATTCCTGTTTGCTGTAAGTAATGCATGAGGTGGCCTTGGAACTCTGCACTGTAGCATGTGTTTAAGCTCAGAGTGCTAGCTATGTGTTTCATTTCTCTAAATGTTCATGCGTTGTTTTTCCTTTCTGCTTATCCCATATAGTTATGAACAGCACAAGGAGGCGTGCAGAGGGGATGCCAGATTCATATGCAAGGCAGATAGCTGCGGGAAGAGGTTCAAGAGTAAGGATGCCCTGAAAAAACATAAGGAAAATGTTCACAGTGGTAAGGAGCAGTTTAATGTTTCTTCAAAAAACAACAAATGAGCAAAAATAATTCTCATATGTACGTTGTCTTTGATTTCCTTTTTAATGGATTCATTTGTATCAAAGAGAAAAATAAGAAATAACTAACTACAAGAGTAAGTATTCCTTTTGCCACAGGAAGAAATTATTCTATACCAGATGACTCATTGGTCTACTACAGAAAATGTAATAGGAATCCAGGGAAGTTTAAACAAGACAAGTAAGAGATAAAGCACAACCTTTCAATAGTGAGGAAAATTAACCACTGGCAGAGACTGCCCCAGGAAGTGGCAAGTTTTTCTTTTTTTTTTTTTGATAATTTCAGGACACAATGAGATGTCTTTCTGGATGACTTGCTTCACAAATGATTAGGCTTGATGAGAGTAGTGCATGAAATTCTATAGCCTCTGTTGTGCAGGAAGTCAAGCTGGGCAATCTACTAGTCCCTTTAGGCCCTAGCATTTTTATATCTTTGCACTGCAAATCAATAATTTTCAATCAAACCTGACTCTGTTTCCATGAAAGGGTAAAAAGCTTCTCTCAGGTCCACAATGCAGATCTCGGCTCTGGCATTCTACTCTCTGTGCATGTCCTCTTTCAGTGTCAATGAAAGATCAGTATGCATGGGACAGTAGAATACCAGAGAGCAAACAGATTTCAGTTAATGATGAGAACACTGTCCAGTTTTGTAAAGTTTTCATTATATGAAACTTTTCTTCTGCCAATATCTTAAAATCTAAAGAAATTCCACAACCATTTTCATAAGAGATTATCTCTCTCTYTCTTTTCTGTTTCTTTTTCTTTCTTTCCTCCAGTGACATTTTTACTCATTTGGGAACACTGTTTTTTTTGGCTCAACTATTTTCAGTTATGTAGAGGTGTAAAACTTCTGCAGTTCCTCTCTTGTATGACCTCTTGGGCATGGTTGGGAATGTGAAGGATATTTTTCCTGCCTGCAGAGTGAGCACAGCTTTTATTTTGCCTGCTAGAGCTCATACAAATCACAGCTGACTTTAGTGCAGGAAGGTGCCTKTAAAAATATGTATGTATATATATTTATATATATGTATTTTATATGTGTATTATAGATAATAATATATAATAACATATATATATGTGTCTATATATATGCATAATATACTTTTAGGCATCCATGTATATAATTATATGTGAGTGCTTATCATGAGTTTTATAACAGCAAATGTGGATGGGAGGTTAAGTATTTTCTTTTTTTTCCACTACAAATTTAAATACTGAAGAACCAACTGACTGGATATGCTTATAGTAAGAGGAATATTTTGTATACTGCTTTCACTACAGTCCGTGAGTCTGCTCACTACACATGGGCAGCTTTCTTCAAGATCATGTTTTCTCCGCGTTTCTGATCCATTGTGACAGTGTGACCTAAGCTGGGAATAGTGAGTTTGTGTTCAAAGTCTTTGAAATGCTATATGTTCTTAAAATGCTGTTAGATTCTTTCATATCTTTACATAAAATGTTTATCAGAAATACTACTCTTGATTTGGAAATAAAACTGTGAATTTATTAAGATGGTCTAGAAACTAATAACATGCTCTACAAGTTATTCCATTAACTACAAGCTGTGGTATATCAGTACAACATATGTAGTTTTGTTTTATAGCTTAGCCTCTTTAGCTTTATCCTACTCAATCTTCAGCAGATGGAGGCAGTGAAGATTAAGACATATTTTGTAGATGTAGGTCCTAAGGGCTAAGAAACATTTGTGTGTCTAGCTACAGGGCTGTATGGTTCATTTGAGATTAGAAATCATTTCAACATCTAGCAAAATGTAGTTACATATGGTCCTACAATTTTTAACACACAATTTTATTTTGACAAGGAAAATAATGTATTTAAAGTCTTTTACCAATGTCATTTGGAAGATAATGCATTTGCATAAAAATTACTTTTATAAAAGCAGCAATGTTTATATTTACATTAAAGACTTTCTGAACTCTTATGGAGTGTTTATGTTTATGTGCACCAGAACTTGAAATTAGCAGAAGAGAAAAAATAATTTTTTTTTTTTTTTTTTTTTTACCTTTTATGTTAGCAACCAAAGGAATATAAAGTGACTGATCTGCTCGCATTGTGTGCTAACTAATGAGATGTGATACAATAGAGAGTTGGTATTCTTTAATGAGCAGTTCTACAATGAGTCAGCACGTCTACAGTGTTGAATGTGTAAAAAGTCTAGGAAGACCAGATTCTGTGTTCAGGACAATTGCTGATGGTCCTGCATGACTTTTTCTTGCAGTTCAGAAGCCATTTAGAGATATCCCTTTGATTATGTCTGTGAGTGAGGATTTGGCATACAAACTTACTTATTGGAGTCTCAGTTGTTGAGTCTGCCTCTTTTCTACTTAACGCACCAAAGGCCTGAGAATACTCTGTGCATTTTTTGGTTGAGCGTTAACAAGAGCAGCCTTGTTAAGCATCTTTATTTGGTTATTTTGTCCGTATACATGTTATAATTTATAAAGTAATAATGAGATCTTATAGGCGTTTTTTAGTATTAAAATAGATAAATGGAGAGAGGGATTGTTGTTAACATTATTTAGCTAAATTTAATATTTTTGATGAAAGACAAATTAAGGCCAGGCTTTTTATCAGATGAAAAAAATAATATTCCAAATTAAAAAAAAAAAAAAGGGAAAACCAAATAACTAGAATCAACATAAATATGAATTCTTTAGGACAGCATAAATATGGAATTTATGCTTTAGGACAACATAAATATCAATGCTTTAGGAATGCTTAAGGACAGCAAAAGCAGGAATGATGTAGGATACTCTGAGTCTGGAATATTGAACTGGAGGATATCTCATGAGTTTATATTCCATACARCCTCTTTGCTTTGACTAAGTTTTGCTTAGTCTCTGTTTTTGCTTTACTCTTTGCATTGTCTTTGTTTTGCCTCTATTTGCCTCTCTCTTTAGTGTATTCTGAACATCCTTTATAAAAGCTAGGAAATACCTTGCAAAGACATATGATTATAAGTAAATAAGTAGCCTAGTGGTGTCTTTACATCTAATAAAACAGCTTTGTGGGGTACTAAACTGAGTTTGAAACCATGGTAAATAACAGACAAAACCCAATTAAATGCTCTGTYACTTTTTAAAGCAAGTGTGAAGAGGAAGGAAAATACATCTGGTAGCTGATCTTCGGCATGGTTTGTAATTTACATTATAGACTAGACTTGAATTCTTTATCTGGTGCTAATACAAATTACTTATCTTACTCAACTATAAAAGCGTTAGTGGTATGTTAWTTTATACAGTAGAATGCTTACTGCTTTCTAAATAAAGAAAAATGAGAAACAGTAATTTTGACTTCAATATGGGTTTTTTTTGTCATTGCTGTGCTGATTCTATTAGGAAAAAATCTTTTTTTAAACAAGTATGATATTTTTGGAGATACAGATGATGGCTTCTGCACAGAATAAGAACTTTGTTCTGAAGTTATTGTTCTTARTATTAACATGCTCTTCATAGTTGATTGCACACATGTGATAATGCTTCTTTTAAGGTTTAGTTCTTTATTGCTCTATTCGTCTTGAATTTACATTCCATCAGTAACTGGTTTGTTGGACACCCACAGAGAACTCCTGATACCCAATACTATGAAGATTGGGAACAAATGTAAAAATCTTGTGTCAGTCAAATGACCCGTGAAAAATCACAAACTGATGGAAATATTTAGATTCTTTTGTAGCACTTCCTTTCTGAGATGTTGCTGGTATTTTGTGTCTGTTTCAGGAAATTCTAGGAAGAAGCTCATGTGTTCAGTGTGCAATAAGAGATGTTCCTCAGCCACAAATCTCCAAGAACATCGAAAGGTCAGTAGGATGAAGGCTAACACAGCAAACTTTCATTTGGCTAAGATGTAAGACTGTAGTGTCTAGGTCACTTGAAAGTTGATGTAGTGCTAAACTTGGGGTAATCACTTTAATGATTACAAAACCAGTGTCTTTTACTATGTGAATTTATTGATCTAATCAYAATTATTTGTCAGAAATGTTCCTATAATTTTAGGGTGTCATTTACTAAATATAAAAATGGTTTTATATTATTTCTGCATTCCCGTGCTAAACCAAGGTTACCATCTGTTCTTGCATTGTTTAAAAGTGAGCAAAATGTAACAGTATGTTATATACTAATATGGTAATRCAGACAGTAATAGCCTTCATTTTATGTACAAATTCTATGTATAATTCATGAGTTTTCTGTTGCCGATGGGGGTCGGCAAGCCTTGTTTGCTAGCTGGACTGACCTGGGGTTGTCCTCACCCCAGGGCCCTGGAGCAYAGATATCACTACGGGGGATGCGGCAAAATGGCVWTTATTGYGCAGTTCAGTCTGCCTATATACTCCAGCTGAATGCGGAAACTCACCTACTGCCCAATCGGGAGACTAATTTCTACTTTTTGCCTTGTATGGCATGGGGTTATCAGTAAACTGCATAAATTAATTACGCTCCTAACTCCCGTGACATCGYGAGATCTTCCGAGCGCCATGCCCTAAGCTCTATGCCCTGTACTATACTATATCATCTACTTTCGCTAAGCTCTCTAACTTATTAAGCCCTAAAAACACAAAAACTCCTACAGTTTTCAATTATGTGCAGAATTATGACAGTCTTAATACTTTATGAAGTAGCAGTAGGTGTTATTTGCAATTTGGTGATGTAGTAGTATAGAAATTAGTTCCCTGAAAAAGAAAGTTTGTCTTCTTTCTTAGTTTGTACATAATCTTTTATAACTAGAACAGGAAGAGTTAATAGTTTAAAAAGCATGTATTAGAAATAAGTGGGTTCGTATAGAAATACAGATGGACTATGAATATGAGATTCTGAATCCATTATACCCAAAGGAAGTCCCTGCAAGATTAATTTGATAAATCACTAAAACCCAGGAGATCTGTTTTTACAAAAACCTACATTGTACTGTTTATCAGATTAACTGTGAGTCCTTAATAATGCCCTGGTTATAACCTGAATCCAGTGAGAATATAGATGATATCAGTTAAAACATGTTGTTGTGAACAGGATGGTGGGGCCCCTCCTTTTTCTTTTTTTTCCCCCTTGCTTGTAATAAAATGCATGTCGTAGTTAACAGGCCTGTGCATTGCTAATGCTCAAACCAAACTGTAACATATCTATTCTTGGATCATTACAGTTCTTAAATCATCAGTGACYCTAATGATGATCCCTGAAAATACAAATATGTCCATTTTATGAAAATTTTTGTTTTGTGGCAGAAGTTGCCATTCTGTGCAGACATTTGGACACAAATTAATAGCTTTTATTGTTGGCATTSATTGGTAAGGAGATTGAGCACTTGCGTTGAGGCCCCTTGAATGTTTTATACGTAAAACCTTAGCGCTTCTTCTTGCTTGGTTACTTCTTCAAATGATCCAGGAAATAGGTGTTCCAGATTCACAAATCTGCATCAGACAGTGAAGGGAGTTGCACATAGGACTCATGCTTTCTGGGTGTTTGAACTATTGTGCTTTGGGAGAGGGGAGGTGCTTTGAAGCAATCACCAGTGTCACCAGAAATATTTAGACTGGACGAGGAAAGACTAAGACAGGAATAGATGAAACATAAAGTGAAAAAAGAATCCAAAATTGTCAGTATGAAGAAATAAAACTAGGAAATAGGAAGGTATGATATATGAGATAACTAGAGGGAAAACTTGACATTTCCTTCAGAGTGTAACCTGGAACCTTCATATTATTTTTGGTGTAAAGTGGGGTGGGTTCCCTTTCCCCCCCCACCCCCCCCACTCTGCCTTAAATTTGTAAATATAAGCCCTTTTTTAGCCATTCACTTCTTAACTCTGCTGTCATCATCTGCCTATTAGTCTTTTCTACCTTTTTGATTTTACCGCACAAATATTTACTGGAATACTTTGCTTTTTTCTTTCTTTTTTTTTTTTTTTTTTTTTTTTCCTTTATGAGGATATTTTCAAGTAAATGTAGGGCTAGAAAGACTTCGGGACCTCAGGATGTTTTCTAGCCCATACTGTTTCACAAAGGGGAGTAAGCATATACTCAAATCATGCTAGATAAATGCTCTCTCATCTCGTAAAAAGTTCCAATGAAGAAAATTCTACGATTTTCATAGTTACCATTTTATTTCTGACTTCCAAGTTTAGTACCACTATGTTTTTTAAATATGCTTTTTAGGGTGTATTTCTGATGTCCCRCTTAAATTTTCTTTACAGCATGTTGAGTCTATAGCTCTTTGTCCTATTGCAGTGAATGTCAAGGGAAAAAATATCCACTGACTTCTCCATAACACATCAGTATTCTGTGTAGCTGTTATGAACTCCATTTGTCTTTCTAGACCGTACAAACACAGTTACCTCAACCTTACTTCATTGCATCTTTCTTTCCAAAGTTCTATTCCTTTTTCTAAGCATTTTCATCCCATAGATGATATAGACTATAGATCATATACATTTTCCTTCCTAGTTGATTTCCAAAACCGTTTTTTTATGCTGATGCGATCCTCTTCCTGCATGATGCCTGCGAAGCTTTAACAAGAATTGTGATGCTAGTCCACTGGCATCATTGCTTGTAATGGTGAGCAGGATTCTTCTGTCTATTCCCATATGTTCTCTTTTGCCTTTTCTTCCATCCTTTTATTCAGTAGMTATATTAAGCCATGATCTGGGGCTGATAAGTAATATGGAAGCATAATACAAACAGCAGCAGACACTGTTCAGAAAATGTTGTGCAGAAACTTATAGAAGATTGGGTAATAAAATGAAAGGGTTTGTTAYAAAAGCCCCCTTTCTGTACATTTGTTATCTCATACCAGAGAGTACCTGAAAATAATCGAGGTAGAGGAGAATTCTGATAGTATTTGGTTGCATAATTATGCCAGCTTCAAAATTTAAGTTAAAATCAAGATCCTTGGGAAAGATGGAGTAGTAGATTACTTATACATACAGAAGAAACTAATATGAAATGCACTTAGGTAAACATGATAAAGTGAATTATTTTCACTTGAGTTTGCCATYTGCTTCTGGTTAAATATTTGACTAAAAATGACTGTCAAAACTGCACAAGTGTGCAKAGGCTTTGGAAAATGACATAACCTCTCTTTGATTTATTTAAAATTGTAATTTGCTTTACAATTGGTATGGAAGTAGKAGCACAAATCATGGTGAAGCACAATTTGTGAGACAAAATTCTCATGGAGAAACTTTTTGGGGTTTTGTTTTCTTGTTATTTAGGTGGAGTCTCTAGTTGAGCATTTTTATTGTGGTTTCCACAAATATGTGTTACATTAGTATGCTAATAGCCTTTATACAAAATTTTTTTTGAGACATTGTTCACCAAGGTTATAGTAYGAGAGAAAATGCAGTATGTAGGAATATTGGTATAGCAACTGGCTAAGTAAGAATTAAAGTCTGTTAGAGAATTTCTGTGTGTGTAAGAAGTGTAATCTTGTTTGGGACACACATTAATTATCATTAAACACGCATTTTTCAGGTTCATGAGATCTTTGAATGTCAAGAATGTGACAAGAAATTTATTTCAGCTAATCAACTAAAGCGCCATATGATAACTCATTCAGGTAAAATATAGATTTGTCTGTATTATTTTTATGTAATGTATGTGCATATATATATATGTATGTATTTATATATGTATATTTATTTTATGACAACTGAATTTTTACCTGAATTATTTTCTTATAGACTGCTTGATGTGTTCTGCATTGTCTTGGGCTGTTCAAGCAAATTTCAGGTTCCAAGGAGAAACTATCCAAGTTACTGYTCTTAAGGCTTTAGGAAATCCAAATGTAATGCTGTGGTCTTCTTCCCAGTGTTGCTTTGTCAAGCTATTCTTTCCCAGTGGCTGGTGCAGGATGTGTCAGTTCTATGGGGATGGGGAAAAAGGTTGTTGTTTGGTTTATGGAGGAGGAGAAGGGCTAGTGAGTGAACCTGCATGTTAAAAATGAGAAGATGGGAACTGAGGTAAGGTGGTAACCAGAGAGATCTGTGATGAAAGGGGAAATATTTAGACTTTTTTTAGCACAGAGTTCCTGGTCAGAGAAAAGCAGCTCATATTCCACCGTTTCATAGGCCACACATRAATGTTTCATCGTGTTTGTCCTCTGCTAGAACAGGTCACCATGAACAGGAGTGACCTCTGTCTGCAGGTTTGGCACGAGGACGAAATAGACTTGTCCAAGATTTCTGATCGCTGGAATCTAGCATTTCAGTTGCGTTCACCAGTGGTTAGAAACATCAGCCAACACAATGACAGCACAAACATTGTCAAATACGTTAACATTTTAAAAAAAAAGTGCAGGATTTTACAGCTGCACAAGCTTGTAATTGAACTGTTTTCTTATTATCAATCCACACTGAAAAATTGTTTCTCATAACATAAGCTTTATCTCAGAGACTCTTAGCTTGCTTTTGACACTTTTGAAAGAGCATTAATGTAGTTAAATTGCAGTCACCAGTTGAAGCATAAAGGCTTTTTGTATARCAACTTTTGGTTTTGGAAGCTAATATGTATATTGTTAATTAAGTTTTAAAATATTTAAACTGTCATGCCCTCTTTCACATTTGTAATCTGGAAACAGGGTTTTCTTCTTTGAAGTCATTCTCTTTTGATTTAAGCTAATTAATCTGAATTTAGTTTTAGCAATGATTTTTGCAAAGAATGTGCCAATTTCTTGAGATACACCATGGCTCATCTTTTGTGAAGTGACTTAACTGTCTAACATAAAGGGCATTAGATGTCTTTCTAATTGGTTTAATCTTAATTGGGTTGACTTAGTTGCAGAAATCTCTCTGAGGAGATGACTGTCTCTGCCTTTCATCTTCTCCCCCTGTATAAACAGGAGATTAAATGTCCCCCACTCATTTTCTGCAGAAAAACGCCCCTACACCTGCGAGGTTTGCAATAAGTCCTTCAAACGACTTGATCAAGTGACTGCACACAAAATAATACACAGTGAAGATAAACCTTATAAATGCAAGCTTTGTGGAAAGGGATTTGCCCACAGAAATGTTTACAAGAATCACAAGAAGGTAAAGCACTCTGCTGTTGTTGTTTACAGGTCTGCCAGCCTCAGATTTGCATCTCTTTTTCCTTTAAATGGTTGATCATTAAGCTCTGGCATGCTTATAAACATGGGATTAAAGCTTTAGAAAATGCATTTGCTAGTGTTCTTTGTTATAATTAAAATCTCAGATGAACCTCTAAATGAATTCTGTTATTAAAAAAGCAAAATAGGCAAAAGCAACCCACAGTTTCTTTGCTAGAAGCATCACATAAATCCCAATTTTGATTTTAATTTTTTTTTTTTTAGTATTAGGTTATCAAATTATGTTTTAAGAGATCTAAAATGTCTTCCTTTTTTTTCTTTAAAAAAATACCATCTTTGAATAAAATTAAGTGTAGTCTTGTTGCAGTCATTCCTAATTGTTGGATTTACCAGGGACTGCTTTCAAACTGTACTGGGTTTGCATTGAGTAGTGTTAAATTACAACAGCATCAGAAGACACATCACTTGAGAAATATGCTCATGAAGCAACGCTCTGTTTCTGTGRATTTAAAGCCCAACTCACTGACATAATTTCTGTAATATTTGTCATTATTTTTAACCAGAAGTTACATTTTCAGTAGCAAAGCTGCATTGATGAYTGCTGTTTCAGAATTACAGGACTGCGGAAATGTTACCTGTCTGATATTTTGTGCAGTATTTGGAACTCTTTTGGTTTCCTTTTCCTGTTTTCCCCCTTCTTCTCTTCGATACAACCAACATATTCCTACTTAACAGATCTTACACAATGTGGCCAACTAGGAATTGTGCATAAAATCTTTGTACCATCTCTTGCACGTTGATCTATAGATCATGCGACAGTAATAATAATGCCTCAAGTAGGATGAAGCAGTGATGACTACAGAAAACAGAAAACACGCAGAAGCCTGTTCAAAGATGAGACTTGCTCCCATATATGCTGTGATTGTATCTTATGTGTTAGACTWTTAAAAACATGAGGCAAAATCTTGCAAATTGAGTATAGACTAATAATTGAAAATATCTAAAACATYATCTGAAAAGAGGCTTCTATTTCTTAAGTTAATAAATGTAAAGTGTTTCCATATGTTAATTTGCAGTTGATGGCTGATAGGGAGTTTTGGCTGACAATGGACTTGAGGATTAGGTGTGAATAATTGATAAACACTTTGACCCAATTCTATATTCAAAGCAGCAGTACCGTTAGCATAAGCAAGGAGGACTGCATGAAAAAGCCTTGCACTGTCTGACAAGAATCCCATTTGTTGGGAATAGTATTATAATTTAGACTGGTTTAACAAGTATTTACTTTTTGTCACAAGAATCATTTAAAGCATTTTGAATTGTTTTTTCCTGACACTATTTGCATGTAATACTGGCTGCGAATCAGCTCTGTCCTCTAATGGAAGAATTTTATTCCTATATTTATGTAAGCTTTACCAAAATTAACAGGGAATATTTGTTAGGTCTTTAATTTACAGTCTGAATGCACTGTGTTAGAGGGAAAGCTGGGGTTTTGTTTTGATTGTTTGTTAGTTAGTCTCCTCTTTCTGTGATTCCTTTAGGCAGGTAATTTAATCTTATTAAATGTCTTATATTTTATCTTATTTTGTGTTGTAAGTACCAGTAAAAATGAAATGTGGCTCCCACAACCCATGTTTTTACACATCTCTGAGGTTCAGCTTGTTGGGTCATTGGATGTTATTGGGCCATTTCAAAGGGACAGGAGGAGTTGAGGTTACCCCATTTGTTGCTCTCACTGGGAGATCGGCAGCGGCTTTCACTGTGAGTCTGCTTCTACACTTCCCCATGGAGCACTGTGTCAGGAACCCTACCTGAGCCCTTGGCTACCACCCCACTGCAGCTGGAGAGCTGCGAGGCAGGATCTGCTGGCTCTGCTGTGCTACCACTCTGAGGTGTGGGAGTCCTGCGCTGCTCTGCCTAGGAGCACCCATGAACTTGCTCTGGCACAAGCTTTTGGGGGTGTCAGTGCTAAAAACCTTTATGAAATGCAGAACTAGCTCAGGTATCTTGAAAAAGCTCAGGCTAAATGACTAAGTGATCAAAAGCGTGGTTCCATTTTTGTGACTAAGGTAGACAATAATATTTGAAGTTAAGAAGTATGCCTAGCGTTGGATTGTGCTGCAGATAAAACTAGTCAGCTAGTCAGCTTTCTTCTARGCTAGACTGATGAAAGTGCGTATTCAGTGCTATTTATTACACATTATTTCTATACAGGAGAGAACAGAGATTTTGTTCCATCTGCTCCTTTGTTGCTATGTGTATGGGATGCACTTAGAGAACAAAATATGACTGGTGAGCAGAAGTAGGTCAGCAGACACAGGGTTTTAAAGGGTTTACAGTAAATCTAGGGTTATCGGGTCCTGGGGAGCATAATGAATTGTAACAGTTGCATTCCCTGAGCTTTTCTCCTGGGAATGCTTGGATTTGAACTTCCAGAAATGCTTGTGGTAGGAAAAGGCTACCTTTAGATGTATCAGATGTTTTGGTCATGCTACTGTTCAAAAAGTGCACTGAATTCTTAAAAATTAGACATCACTAAACCTTGAAGCATTAGAGGAGTAGGATCTTTGTGGCATCACACTTCATGTATGGTTTTTTTGGATGCCAGGTGCTAATTCCTGTGCTGTTTCCAAATGAGTGTTTGAAATTCTGACCCTTTCAAATGAGTGTTTGAATTTCTGACCCTTGTGGATGTAGTCATTGAGTGCCTGATAGAAAATGCGAAAATTAAAAAAGAAAGTACTTGCTCTGTGTTCAGATATCTAAGTGGGATGTAAACATAGCAGAGTTTAAAGAAAAGATATGGTTATGGTTATATTTTTATAGGCAAATTGTACTGATATATTGTTGTTTTCTGCATAATGAATATGTCTTTGAAAATGTGTATTTCTGGAAGGATTTTTTGTTTGTTTTTACTGTTGTTTATGGTCTTATTGGCATTTTAACAGTAAAACAGTTCATTCAACAGTAGAGAACTGCTCTAGAAAAGACTGCAGTAAAAACATATGTTCTTGGTTTGTGCTTCATTTTCCATGTTCCAGTCTGGTGGAAAGGTCTGGTGAAGCAGTAACAGAATAAAAAATGTAACAATATTTTCTCAGTGTAAATAGAATGTTTCTCTTGCTGCTACACTTATAAAAGATTTCAGTACTGTGGCCAAACGTTTAATATAGTTCAAGACTAAGCCCACAACTGACTTAGAGAAAAGGCTTTGAATAGTATAGAAAAATGCCTAAAGCTTCTACTCAACTGTAGAACATCAAGCCACTGAAACTAACTGCGCTGTTGGCATTGCATACTGCTTGTGTCCCTCTGGGTCTTAAAATAGTGAATTCAGCTCACCTTTTCATTGCTTTCTTTGTGATTTAGATGCTACAAACTTTTGCATTGGCTGTTTTGTTTTATTTGAGTGAAATGCAGCTCTAGCGGGTGCCTTGCAGAAGGGTGGCTGCAGTCTGTTCTACAGAGTATCAAATTAAGAGCAGCCTGCTGCATCTGGCATGTTGCTGGTGGGACATGTTTCAAAGAATACGATTGGACATGTCATCACTGAAGTGTAGAGTAGTTCTTTGTTTATTACTATGTATATATTAAATATGTAGCATAAAACTTCCAACCTAGTTTGTGTGTGCACTGTGTACCTGCTATGAGATGCAGACATACCATCTAATCAAGCAGATTGCATGGACATTGTGTAACATTCTGTATAACATAGCATCTCTTTTAGCAGCTTCTCTAACATGCCCAGCTGACTTTAAAGATCTGATTTAAGTACAGCAAATACTCGCATGCTTTTGTAATCTGGATTTCTTAGATTAAATGTGCACTTAATAGCCCACCCCAAACTCATGTAACTGAATGTAGSGTTGTGAAAGGGTGTAATGATGGTGTTGATTCATGCATTACTGATGGGACATGGCTTGACAGCTGAAACTCTCAGGCCTGCTCTAATTGAATAGAAACCCTCTCTGATCTGGAGCCTATATGTGGTTCAAAGGAGCACAGTGTTAGAATTAATGCATTTATTTGAGGGATATTGCTCCTCCTTAAGATTTACATGGGTTTTTGAAATAGACCTAATGTAATGCTGGGTCATTCAAAAGAGTGGGAGATGCTTTGGGATATCTATGTGTGTACCCATAAATGTGGGTATGACTAGTTAAGCGTTTTGTCTCCTTAATGAACTTAATGAACAAATGCAGATGAATACTTGTATTTTGGTCAGAAGATTAAAAGAGCTGACAAGGGGATGCTAAAAAGGAATTCTGTATGAATTACCGTGCTGTTCAGAGCTGTCACTCRAGTGTTGAATGTTCTAAAAGAGGGCATTTTTGAAATAAGCAGCATGAATTTTGCGCTCGTGAAAGATGCCAGATTGACAGCCCTAGAGACTGAACCCTTCTATTTATCCACAGAACAGGTACAGCACAGACAGCAGCACTGCGAGCTTCCCCACAGTGTCTCGTCAATATGTCTCAACCCTGTTCTGGAGGAACCACCTATTGAGGTGAGAAGGTAGTTCAGTCTCTTCATGTCCTGTCAATCGTTGGCCTGACTGCTTAGACTGTCAAGCAGGGTGTCAACTAACACAAACTGCAATGTTAACCATGCGCTGGATTGAAATAGTTGGCACATTTGTGTAACATGTAGCATGCTCCATGCATTTGACAGCTGCTCCAGTTGCCTTTTTGCTCTAAATGACTCTGGCTGGGGCCAAGGAGCTGACTTTGACCTCTCTCTCTCCTGTTACAAGTACACTAATGTTTTGGTACTGTTTTGAGAGGACGTTTAGATTAAAATCAGTCTAAGTTCAAAATCAAGAGTTTCCATCTAACTAATTGTGCTGACTTCCCACAGCTCTTTTCTATTTTTCCTTCTACACAGTTTAAGGGATAAGCTATAAGTGTTTTATTGTATTATGAACTTTTCTACCTTTAACAGAAATAGTTTGTAAACTTGTATACAATGCTAATAATTACCTTTAGGCTACCAAAGCAACTAATTTACATAACCTTGTTATTAACGTGATCGTTACATACTGTAAAACACTGTCCCTCCCTTTCTCCTCTTGACAATACAGCTTTTACTTAAGGCCTTTGTAAGCTAATACAGAATTCATACACTGATGCTTTAAAAACTTTCTTTTCTTTGAAAGAGAGTAGAAATTGGGTAGATAACAAATTATAAAGATAAGTTTACTGTCTACAGTGGGATAATAATAATGCTATGAAAGGGAAAGTGCTTTGAAATTTATGGAAGTAGAAGTTGGATCTTCCCCAAGATCCAGAAATCTTCTTCAGCAACTGTGCAGCATGTTTGCAAGATTCATCTAAGCTTAGCTTTCTGTCTTATTTATGGCTTTGATGGGGCTGTTTGTCTGCTATGGTGAATTTTTTTACTGCAGCAAGCAAAAATYCCAATTCTGATGCTTCTGTTATTTATTTACTTTTTAATATATGAAGCCAAGCTGTGGATGTGTAAGACTAGTGTCATGATCTGAGAAATTTTATTTAAACTTTAAATTTCTCCCCTGAAATAACCAAGTTGGTTTTATCTTTAAACTCAGATGACAAAAATGCGAGGCTTTCTGGATAGACTTTTTTTTTTTTTTTTAGGCACTTGATAGTATTACTAAGTATTTAAAGCAAATATTAGTACTGATGAAACAATGGAACTGAACAAGCAGTTTTCTTGCTGGTTATTCTTTATTTTTGTTTCTATTTACCTACTCTCCGTGTAACACTTGTGAGATGATAAATAGAGTGCTTGCTTACATGATAAATATATTGCGTAGCTGCTATGCTGAGTTTCAGGGCTCCAGGTAAAGACAGAATTAGATATTTCGTATTGCTCTAATATCCCTTCCTGAATCCAGTTTGGAAAATTAGCTGTGATTACTGTATCAAGCACAGTTATTAATTTCCTTGATCCTCTCCTCTGACATGTTGTCTTTCATCTGCAGACCCATTCTGAAGAGAGACCGTTCCAGTGTGAAGAATGCAAGGCTTTGTTCMGAACCCCTTTCTCTCTACAAAGACATCTGCTAATTCATAACAGTAAGTGCTAACTCAGAGAGGAAAAAGAACTTTCTGAGTTCTCATATGTATGGCATCTTGCTCCAATATACCACTTGCTATGCTACAATAATATTAAAATTTTATCTCTGAACCCTGGGAGTTAGTTCACAGCAAAATTCAAACTTTGTCTTTAAATACACTTAATTGCAAATTTAGATTTTTCTGTAAAAAATCTAGTGATAATTTGAGATCTGTTGACAAGGGATTTCTTTGTGCACTAGCTGATAATATTGACATAATTTTAAAGAAGAATAAATGGAAGCAAAGACAACTAGGTGACTTGCTTAGTAGGTAATCTGTTTTACAGCTTGGAACTGATAATTTTTCTCCTAGGCCAGGTTGGCTTTATGATRGTCTTTCCCAGCAGCAGAATGAAAACAGCTGCCCAAAGGATTCCTATCCCTCTTTCGCTTGGGAGTAACTTGCTCCTGACATTCTATACTGTTTCCTAATTCAGTGTTWCCATGTTCTTCCTCCTTTAGAAGTTTTGGAGATGTGCTCTTTCCGCRCTTTTGGGTGGTAGTAGGATTTATTTTCTGTGGAAATGGGTCTGTCTTTGGTACTACAAGAGCCCTAAACCATCATCAACAATGTGAATGTCAACCTTTAAGATTTTTGAACTTATTCATTATCTGAAATATGAAAGGAGTCCATTGATTTTTTTTTTATTTTTTTTTTGTTCAGTGTGCCAGTGTTTCTGATGGATAAACAATTAGAGCGGAGTGTTTGCTTCTGCAGTTTCATGAATTTTATACTAAATTTTGTGAAATCTATATCCTACGATGAATTTAAAATATTAAAATACTTTTCAGTGTGTGTACCATGCATATATAAATGGACTTTTTCATTTGCAGAATATCCCAAACTAGTAACCAAACTGTCTTAACAGTAGTCTATTATAAAGCAGAATGTAGAACAAAAAGCTTATATGGTCCTGCTGCAACCCCTCATTTTCCTTTTGAGTAGTCCTTTTATAAAAGAAGTGTTGACAGAACACCAGCAAAGTGAAAGTCATTACAAGACTGAAGTGAAGAATAAACAGTTTTCAGGTCAAGACTGTCATTATAACAAGGCGCTCTGCTATTTCAAGGGCTTGTTTCAGGTGAAGAAATGAAGAGCTCTTCCCCTCGTGACCTAACTGAGACTGACAGGTTGTATTGCCRTGATAATGAGTTTCTCATATTTGGAATAACTCAGAACCTTGGCATTGTCATGCTGCAGCTGGATGATTGTTCCTCTCATAGAACTAAAATGCCAAATATTATGTATTTCYGTAAGAAAAAGAATAGAGAGGGAAAATAATGGCCAATTAGCATGAAATATTCCATAAAGCAAAGAAATATTTATAAAAATAATTTTTAAAAGATTCGGATTTTAGTTTACCTTGTTGAAGTAGTAGAAACTTGCACATTACCATACTGAAAATAGTAATGAATTCACTTGCAGTTAGCACAGTAGTCCCAAGACTACGATTGAAAAGATTCACTGAGCAGTTAGAAGCATTATCAGGGCTCAACTGCCACATAACAGCATACTAAAATGCATCGCCATTTATCCTGAAAATTCTTTTTCTTAATAGATTGGCTGAAGTTTTGTGGGAATAAGGCAATCTATACTCTAAATACCGTTAGTGTTGTCTAAGACAAAGCTGCTTCTATTCCAAAACAGAAAATAAATGAGAGATTTAAAGTTTTTTATTATTATGACTTATTATTTTTAAAATGGTTTGTTTGTAGGTTTGTAGATTGTAGGAGAGTGAAACCTTTCTTACAGGTTTGAGAATGGTAATGTGTTCTTGGTCTTTATATGGGCACTGTAAGCTTAACTTACATGTATTGCTTGTATAACATGCAATAAAATATGTTTTCCAGTGCCTGAGTGTGTAGCATCAGATGAGCTTTAACACAGAGCTTACAGAAATAATTTTCATTCACATTGGCCTTTGAACTGAACCAGGATGCGGACAGTTTCATCCTTCAATGAGCTGTATTGAGAAAATGAGTTTAGTTCTGTGTGTGTATACTTATACTGAAAAAAGTACCCTATTCTTACAGAAACTTTTGCCTTATTCATTTGGATCAGATCTCTGATGTGAAAAATGAGTGACAGAGGATAATTCATATAGTGCTTTTATAGTGTAATTTGTTGGAAAGTATTCTGGGATATGGTCACCTAATTTTCAGGTTATGTACAGATGTTTAACTTGTAATCTTAATCTGGTAACAGTTAGAAATGAATAGAATCTCCTCTGCATTTATAATAGTGATTAGGAGGCTCATTGTAGTAATTTCCCTCCAACCTCATCTGCCTTGCTTCTGTGTTTTTTTTCTTTCCGCTGAAAATACTGAAAAAATATTTGTGACTTTACACAATATATTGCTTCTGTTACATACATTGAAGTTTAAAACAACTGATAATATTAATCTTGACTCTTTCATAACCTTCAACTACATCACCATTGGCTGAACAATATACTGGTATATAAAGCTCTTAAATTTTATCTTTTTCATCYGAGTTTGCCTTTGCTGACATGAATGAGTTTACTCAAAGTCTACTTGCTTTCAGCCTTCTTTTAAATCCAGAGGGATACGTCTTATCGCTTAGTTTTCAGAAGATGAAAACTATTTTGTATTTTTTTTTGTGATTAGGTGTTGGAGAAATGTGCTTCTTTCTACTGGCAGCCATTTAAGATTCCATTTTATCTTTAGCTGTAGAGTTTAATTTCCCATATGTGATTTTGTCATGAGTTCCACTTTCATTTCCTAATAACTTTGTTTTCTACCTAATGTGAKGTTTGACATGATTGCCATAAAGACTATTATCTTTAAATCTCAATTTTTGTTTTTATAAGGTGAGAGGACCTTCAAGTGTGATCACTGTGATGCTACTTTCAAAAGAAAGGACACGTTAAATGTTCATATTCAAGTTGTACATGATGGTCATAAAAAATATAAATGTGATCTTTGTGCCAAAGCTTTTGTGACACCCTCTGTTCTAAAAAGCCATAAGAAAGTGAGTAGAATCATTCCATTTTCATTTTCTTTCCTTTTATGTCTGTAAGATTGTGACTGAAAATAAAATCCCCATATGCTTCTGTATTTCTGACTTTTCAATGGAAAACTGTAGTAGTACATAACACCCTAGCATGTTACAATAATAGAATTTTTGGTGGCACCCAGAATCTCTAGAGGGTAAATATGTCTAAGTCCTGTGCAGTACTCCAGCATCAGGCATGTAACAGATGGGACTTGCTGCCCTGCCCTTACACACATGCCTATATACCAAACTCCAGAATGGCAGCGGGGTCATCTTTAGAAGAAATGGCTTACAAATGAGATTTAAGTAGGTGTCAACAGGAAAAAAATGAGAGGAAAATAACTCAATTGGGAATAAATCAACTGCCACTAGATGCAGGCAGATATGAGAGTTTGTTGGAAAACATAATGTATGTATTTTTGGTCCTGTACTTCRTATATATCTGTAAAATAGCTCTGTGGAAACTGTGGTACTTCTTTCTGTAATGGTAAGGCACTCTGGTGTTAAAAGACTTGATATACATCTCATTATCAGTGTTGCATATGTAATCTGATTGTGGCATTTACTGCAAAATAGGTAGGATAAAATTATGTGATTTGTATTGGATGAAATCGCTGAAAATTTGCGTTTTGAGGGATTACTGTTTATCATACATCAGATGAGTGGGCAACTGTGTTTCATACCTGTGAGATGGTCAGAAATCATATGCACAGATCTCCATAGAGGTCTTTTAAAGCTCCAGCTCAGGTCCTGTTTTACAATGGAAAAAGCTAAAATAATTTTAAAAGAGTAAAACTCTTTCYACCATATTTAATTAAATAAATTGTAGGTTTATAATTATAATTATAAAAAATATAATCTTTTCAATAATAATCTAATTTATTAAGGTTAATTTCGTTAGGTAGCCAAATAACTGTTCATTGGTTTAGTCACTGCTGTAACAGAAATCGAATTGAAAAACAGACAGTTTATTCTTGCACTTATGAAAACACACAAAGACGGTAAGGTGAGTTGTAATAATAACTGTTCAGAAAATTGTAAACTGGTGATCTCAAAAGCCAGTTTATTTCACAGTTGTTAATAAGATCAGTTTAGAAACTTCAGAAATGAATTGAATAAACAGCTGTGGCTAATTAGAATTTCTGCCTGATGTGATTGAATAAAATACATAATGGCTGTTGGAGAGAATAATGGCTAATGTCAAGTGCCATTAATCCATTCTGTATTTCATTTCTTTAAAACTGTGCTGCTGGAACTTTCATTCCTGTCTTTCTGCACCCCATGTAGACTCACACAGGAGAAAAGGAGAAAATTTGCCCATATTGTGGACAGAAGTTTGCAAGCAATGGAACACTGAGAGTTCATATTCGAAGCCATACAGGTATAGTGATATTTATTGTGAAGAACAGAGATTTTTTTTCTGTGTATATAGAAAGGTAAAAAATCTACAAAATAGATTGGCCTAATGCACCGTCTTTTTCAGATATTTTCTGTGTAAAAAAGRTGGAAAAAAAAAGATGCTGATCAGTGATTTTGGAATTTAAAATAACAGTTAAAGCAGAAATAAAATGTTCTCTTTTTGTTCATATGAAAAATTTTGCTGTAAAGGCATCACTGGTTCTGTTTCTTCAATGGTCATGTAATTTCTCATTCCTATAGMATGTTAGAAGGAGATGATAGATTTTATGCCAGAAGATAAAAAGATGATCCACCTTAACAGTGATACTTCTGCTCTTTTTTTTTTTTCTTTTAAGAAAAAAAATTTGATCATTATTAACTCACTAGAGAAAGATAATCAGGTGCTGTCTTACAGCATTGATCCTAATAATTAATTTCCAAAAAAGAGAACACCACCCTAATCATGAGCTCTTATCTGGGCCTTTTCAGTTGTCAGTGAAATGAAGATAAGTTTGAATCTTTAACTATGAAGTTATTCATCTGTAGAGCTTCTGTGAAGTCTTGATACTCTAGTTTCATATTGATGTAACTTCTGCCTTTATCGCAGCCTGTATCTTRCCCAAATTAGAATGTTCTACTTTGAGTACACTTAAAATTAGATTTCTGTTGCAATAATCCTGTGGTAACCCAGATTTTAACACTGTTTCCTCGTCATGTAACATGTGAGTTTCTATAAACACACTGAAAAAAAAAGTTAGACATGTAGGTCATTTCGTTACCCAAATTTGTTTTCATTTGAAATAAATGGGATGAAACTGAAAGGGGGTATTGAGATAATTTGGTTTTGACAGACAAAATGTCAGTTGACAAAAAGCCTTTCTATGATATTCTATTTTTCATAAGCAAATTTGATTTGCAAGGATATGACAGATTTGGTGTTTCTAATCACTTGGCCTTCTACATTGTCTGGCAAAAGTCTGTTAAGATTAGAAGTTGGTTTTATTTTGATATATTTTACAAACTTGAATACAACTGTCACGGATACCATCAATTTCAGTAGTTCTGTAGTCAGGATAAAAGGCTAGAATTGATTTGTTTCTTTAGCTCTTTTTCTTTGCTAAATTCTATGTAATATATACATTTATGCCTGCRTATAGAGATTCTCTTCAGATGGTTACAATATACAATCATCATAGGCGCAAAAGGCACTGGTGTTCAAAGCTGGCAAGATACTAATTCGTAATGCAGCAGTTCTGTCCTTTCCTCTACTTTTTGCTTTCTTTTTCTTCTGCAGCTTCATCTTCTCAGCTGTTTTCCAAGTCCTTCCTGAACAGTCTCACCTGCTGTGTTTTTCTSTTCAGTCTCCTGCCCCATTCTCTTTTCTTTGTGTTCTACAAGAAGTGTAGAAGAGTACAAATAGAAGAGCAAGTAGAATGGGGATTAAGAGAGTCTTTGGGGGCTGTGCCCTCTTGAAGGAACAGACAATCACCTGCCTTAACTTGGCTTCGGAGAACCAGGTAGGCAGGAATAAAGGGAAGCAGTTAAACAGCATTATTAGTTCAGTCCACTTCTGTGAATCTGACTGTGTTAATTTCTAAACTGTATTAACTTTGTTTTTGATGCTGTATTGTTATTTGAATTAAGGATATTTCTTTACCTTCACCTTGTCATCCAATCAGGGAGCATGTTACCATTAAAGTCTCCTGGATTTTCACGTATGAGACTGGTTTTCCAGGAAAATTATGACTTTTTATAGATTCTCTGTGCTTAAAGGAATAGCAGTATATTGCTGTAATTCTCTTTAGAATCTCTGGATTCACATTCCACTCTGTTGCATATAAGTCATTGTCTTTATGTTTCCTAGTGGACTGGTTTTGTTTTTCTATTTCACAGATCTTTTTCATAAATTGAAGTAGCTTTTTTGTATGTTATGGATTTTAGACCATAGCTTGCACAGGGCAGAGAGGCCTTCGTGTTTCAAGCTGATAGAGCAGATAGCTCTCGGGGAAAAGTTTTTACAGCTGTCTGTGCGAAAATGCTTTTCACACGTGTGCCACTAAGAGTGACATTTAATGTTTCAATGCTCTTAGGCAGATTTTCCTAAGTTAGGCTAAGTTGAGTTATAGCAGAAACAGTAAACTAAGTATGTTGAATTTACTTGAGGTAGAGAGGCAACTTACTTAAACTGCTTGTGGTGAGAGAAGTTGATGAAGATGATGAAGGGACAGTACTGGTTGGAATTAATGCAATATTTACTGTAAAACAGCTTATGAAACAGAACTTTTAAGGCTTTATATAAAAAGCGGGAAATGCTTCTTTTAGGAGAGTTGTGATTCAAGAGGAATAGCTCACTAAATTTGTCATGATGTAACTCAAAAATTTTAATCTTGCAGTCCAGTTGCTGTTATGATGTCAATCACSTTTTTGATGAAGAGTTTTATGTCACATCCTTCACTGTGGGATTTGACTTTAATAGATTTTCACAGTTGCTTGTAATATCGTTCTCTTCTATGATTCCTGACCACTTTCTGGATATTGTGAGGAAATGCAAACAGGAAGAATATTATTATGTTGCACTTCTGAAGAGGTGTTTTTGACTTGTGTTGTAACTAAAGACCTAAGCTAAGTTGTTCACAATCGTAATAAATGCAGATAAATCCAGTGGAGGAAATTATTGCACGGAGTGGAAAAATTGTGTTTTTCTAGTGTGTTCAATGGGTGAGTGAGGAAACCTAAGGGAAGCTTTCTTTACTGCAGAAAGTATAGTTGGTGAAGAGAATCTGTCATCTGAAAAAAAAAAAAAAATACGTGATATTTATTTGTTGGCTTTTAGCTGTCGAACTTCAATGCATCATGAAAATTCTTGACAGCATTTCAGGGATTCTCTGGACAGTAAGAAATTTTCATCTCTACAGACAACGGAGATACAAGCTTATTTTCTAAATGATTCTGTGTTGAATATTTCATGCTTTTGGTATCCATTAAGTCCTGTGGTTTTCAATTAGCCAGTTTAAAATGCTCCCCTGGTCAGACATCTAAATATCAMTTTTCATCCTGAGCTGGAAGTTAGGTAAGTAAACACTCTGTTTTCCAGAGGTGGTTTATCTTTGTGAATAAACCTTCTGCTTTACAAGAAATTAAACAGTCCACATAGGTTTGATATTGGGAAAACCTTCATGTCTCTTGGTGATTGCCGCTGATTGGATTTGAGTCCTGTTCAGGCTTTTGAGTTGTCTCACATTCTGTGCGTGTGTTCAGCTAGCTTTTGTTTTATTTGGGACTTAATAGAGGGTTTGTTGTATATTCATAAAAGCAAGCCAGGCTAATTTCTTTTAGAAKACTTGTGTATTACTTTTTATCATTTTATATAATATTTTCATTTACAAAGCTGGCTGCCAGAGTTCTTGGCAGTTTTCCTTCTGCTTTAGAATAATATTTTTAATATGCTTATTAATATACAGAAGAGAAATATACATATGCAATCCATATATAGAAAGAGAAGCTCAATGTAAATAGACTTTTCTGTCTTGTATTTAATACGCAGCACAAGGTCTTAAGTGTCGTTGCTCACAGATGTATGCATGCTTCCTCAATAAGTAATTTTCCTCCCTTTTTTCATCTCAGAGTAAGCCTCTGTAAATGAGGCCTAACAGTACTTGTCCTTTTGCAGAAACTGAGCTGGTTTGGGGTGAGTGAGCATGTCTGCATGTGCATGTATGGAGGGAGACGCTGATGTTTGTATCTGAACCTAGCATGTTGTTCTGTAATTCATCATCTGGGCTTCCAGCCTTGGAATGACAGAGACAGCACTCTGTAGGTCAGCTGAAACACTAGAGCACATTCTCTCTCTGCTGTATCCTGTTGGTTTTATGACTTTTTAAGGTCAGAGGGAGCTGGGGTTAATTCAGCTAAAGAATCCTCTGACTGTGATATAAATTCCATGGCTTGTACATAAATTCTAAAAGAAAAATTCTGTGGCCTGCTTTTGGACTTGAAAACTGTAGGCCAAAAGGTTAATTACTTGCCTAATGTTTCAAGCAACTTTCAGTGTTAACAGTTGCTGCCTGTGGTTTATGCTTTTCTACCATAAACCATGTGGTTTATGCTTTTTCTACCTTATACATAGATATTTAAATCCGTTAATTGTTGTCTTTAGTGTATCTTTGTATATGTATTGGTCCGTGTCTATTTAATGTGYATTAACAGTGCATTTAATATAGTACTTGTTGCTTTCCTAACTCGTTATATGCTAATGCCATCCTTCTTTGGGACAGAGCACATCAACTTGTAGAGCAGTGGAAGTTGATGTCAGGTAGTTTGTATTTGCTTGTTCACTTTCTAAGAGAATTGAATCTGTTTTACCTAATTCTCTCCTTTCCATGCCATCTTTTACTTGCTCTATTTCATAGTTTAGGGACGGGTAAGGGACAACTGATAACCATAGAAGTGTTTCAGAAAATGCTTATACACACAAAGGTAGCTTAAAACACAAGGAAGCATAATCTTATTTTTTTTTTCTGCCACACTTAGTTAAGGTCCTGATACAAAGCCAGTAAGACAACTATGACTTAAATCAGTCTTAAATATTTTCCTCAAATATTGATGTTTCTATTTAATGCTTTTCTTATTTGAGCCATGACCTAATATGTCATTCCTTTCAATACTTTYGTATTATGCATATAATTTTAATATCGGAACAGGCAACTATGCATTGATATACATAAGAAAAGRTGTACATCCAGGGGTACTCAATCTAGGATGTCTTCTAGCAAATTGCATTATAACTTATATATTTCTACTTTAAAAAGCAAAAGATAAAATGGAATCTTGAAGGAACTTCCCCTCCTAGCRCAATGAAGTATGTGCAAAAGTGTGTCTGTATCTGGTCAGTGAGCAGCTTGCTAATGTCTACAGATAGGTTCTTTCTATTCAATAACTTATAGATGCTCTCTCTCTTTTATCTACTGAACTAAAAAAGAAGAA